TAGAAATCGGAAATTTTTCTACTTTCGGTCTACTTCCTGAAATCGGAAATTTGTCTGCTTAAGGAAAAGAATTCAGATTTATTTTAGTTCCGGAACTTTTTCTATTTCCGGAAATTTCTTATTTTTGATATTTTGAATACGTAAACTGTCTGCATTCTAATAATCTTTAAATACTTTTAGTCAATTCTACCTCGGCGTGTTTCAGCCATGTAAAAATAATGACTCACATGTTACAATTTTTCGCCAGATTTTGTTTTTGGGAGATTCAAACGTCAGGGGACATTACCGCATCGAGATTCAGCGTGCCCAGTGTCGAGTTGTCCTAGAGGCTAAACACGCATCCTGGCACAAGCCGCTTCTCTGTGTGGACCTGGCCAGGAACTTGACCATCCAGTGGTTGCCACACTCGCTGCCCTTTAAAACCAGCGTCGTATGTCAATCATATGTAAACAATAGTATATCACGGGGGCCCATGTGTGTTTAGCCAAATATTTCCATATGTAAATAACCGGGGCCCATGTGTGTTTAGCCAAACATTTCGATATGTAAATAACCGGGGCCCATGTGTGTTTAGCCAAACATTTCCATATGTAAACCAAGGGGGCCCATGTGTGTTTAGCCAAACATTTCCATATGTAAACCAAGGGGGCCCATGTGTGTTTAGCCAAACAATTCTATATGTAAACTAAGGGGGCCCATATGTGTTTAGCCAAACATTTCCATATGTAAACCAAGGGGGCCCAGGTGTGTTTAGCCAAACAATTCCATATGTAAACCAAGGGGGCCCATGTGTGTTTAGCCAAACAATTCCATATGTAAACCAAGGGGGCCCATGTGTGTTTAGCCAAACAATTCCATATGTAAACTAAGGGGGCCCATATGTGTTTAGCCAAACATTTCCATATGTAAATCAAGGGGGCTCATGTGTGTTTAGCCAAACAATTCCATATGTAAACCAAGGGGGCCCATGTGTGTTTAGCCAAACAATTCCATATGTAAATAACCGGGGCCCATGTGTGTTTAGCCAAACATTTCCATATGTAAACCAAGGGGGCCCATGTGTGTTTAGCCAAACATTTCCATATGTAAACCAAGGGGGCCCATGTGTGTTTAGCCAAACAATTCCATATGTAAATCACGGGTGCCCATGTGTGTTTATCAAAACAATTCCATAGGTAAACTAAGGGGGCCCATGTGTGTTTAGCCAAACAATTCCATATGTAAATCACGGAGGCCCATGTGTGTTTAGCCTTACATTTCCATATGTAAACCAAGGGGGCCCATGTGTGTTTATCAAAACAATTCCATAGGTAAACTAAGGGGGCCCATGTGTGTTTAGCGAAACAATTCCATATGTAAATCACGGGGGCCCATGTGTGTTTAGCGAAACATTTTTAGCCAAACAAATCTCCCTTTCAGCCCTGATAGTCCTTGGGCAGATGAAGCAGATTTCATCTGTTTTTTTACCCCGCCTAGTTTGGTAAACATTATGTTTTTCCTTTCACGTTCGTGTGGGCATTAATCTATTCTTTAAAAGTAAAATGCTAAAGATTTCTCTTTAGCCTAACGATTCATTCGGCAGATGAAGTAGAGTTTATCACGTTTACTTTCCCAGCACCCGCTGGGTGGACTCAGGACGTTCTTCTGACTCGAGACTTTCGGGTTAGCAGCGTAGTGTAGAGATAATGAACCCCTAGTCCTCTATGTACAGTACTCCAACAGATTGGTCATTTCCCCGCGTCTTACACACACACACGCACACGCACACGCACACGCACACGCACACGCACACGCGCACGCGCACGCGCACGCGCACGCGCACGCGCACGCGCACGCGCACGCGCACCCGCACCCGCACCCGCACCCGCACCCGCACGCACGCACGCACGCACGCACGCACGCACGCACGCACGCACGCACGCACGCACGCACGCACGCACGCACGCACGCACGCACGCACGCACGCACGCACGCACGCACGCACAAACACACGCACGCACGCACGCACGCACGCACGCACGCACGCACGCACGCACGCACGCACGCACGCACGCACGCACGCACGCACGCACGCACGCACGCACGCACGCACGCACGCACGCACGCACGCACGCACGCACGCACGCACGCACGCACGCACGCACGCACGCACGCACGCACGCACGCACGCACGCACGCACGCACGCACGCACGCACGCACGCACGCACGCACGCACGCACGCACACACACACACACACACACACACACACACACACACACACACACACACACACACACACACACACACACACACACACACACACACACACACACACACACACACACACACACACACACACACACACACACACACACACACACACACACACACACACACACACACACACACACACACACACACACACACACACACACACACACACACACACACACACACACACACACACACACACACACACACACACACACACACACACACACACACACACACACACACACACACACACACACACACACACACACACACACACACACACACACACACACACACACACACACACACACACACACACACACTCACACACACACACACACACACACACACACACACACACACACACTCACACACACACACACACACACACACACACACACACACACACACACACACACACACACACACACACACACACACACACACACACGCACACAACGGTTAAATCTAGAACTGTGGTAATCTCTACAGGTGGGATGGACAGACCACGTCGCAGACTTGGTACCATCCAGCCAGGCCATAGACGCCATCCCCAACACGGGCAAGCACATCATCATCATCAACCTGCACCTGCACCTGTCCTCCCAGCACCTCAGCGCCTACGTCAACAGCATGCTCGTCCTGAGAGACTCCATCATCCGACTACTGGCTCGAAACCTCAACTCCGTAGTCCTGCTTCAGGTACTGACTTTACCTGTAATATCTCCGTAGTCCTGCTTCAGGTACTGACTAGAAATGTAATTATCTCCGTAGTCCTGCTTCAGGTACTGACTAGAAATATAATTATCTCCGTAGTCCTGCTTCAGGTACTGACTAGAATCTCCGTAGTCCTGCTTCAGGTACTGACTAGCTCTGTAATTATCTCAGTAGTCCTGCCTCAGTACTGACTAGAACTGTAATCATTTCAGTAGTCCTGCTTCGGGTACTGATTAGCCAAGTATTCAACCCCATGTTGACTAAAATAATTTCCATGCAGGGCCCTCATGTTGAATACAATAATTTCCATGCAGGGCCCCCACGTTGACTACAATAATTTCCATGCAGGGCCCTCATGTTGACAATAATTTCCATGCAGGGCCCCCATGTTGACTACAATAATTTCCATGCAGGGCCCCCATGTTGACTACAATAATTTCCATGCAGGGCCCCATGTTGACTACAGTAATTTCCATGAAGGGCCCCCATGTTGACTACAGTAATTTCCATGCAGGGCCCCCATGTTGTCCTAAACGAAAGCTACTATCGCGGCGGAGACATGTTGAACCGTTTCATCATAGACATACAGCATCAGGTGTTCGAGGACTTGAAGGACAAGGTCATCTACTTCCCGACCTCTGACCTCACCATCGCCTGCAAGAGCAGGAAAATCCACCCCCACTATGGGATCAGGAAAGACATGACGAAATTTTTGATGGGGTCAGTTTGTGGCAGAACTTGATGGGGTCATTTGTTTTTGGAAACTGGACTTTTCTTTAAGATCAGGAATGACATCGCAAAATATTGATCCGTGGGACGGTTGTGTTTTAAAGTATTAATACATATGCTCATAAAGCACGGGTGCTAACAAAACACGGGTACTAATGGGTCGTCCATAGTTGACATTACTCTATTTTGCCGAAATCCCCCTCTCCCATCGTCAGATTCACAACACATAAAATTACATCACACTAACGCTCAACTTCAGGAAAGTGACGTCTCTCAAGGACGTTCGGACGAACCCTGAGAAAATAAACACTAATGATAATAAAACCTAGACACTAATGATAATACAACCTTCGTGCTCATGAAACGCTTATTTTAATCCCACTTGAGATTGACTTGAAAGATCACAACTATACGAATTGAACGTGTGAGGGACTGAAATCCACATCCCCTTGTTGAACGTGAGAGGGACTGAAATCCCCACCCACTTGTTGAACGTGTGAGGGACTGAAATCCCCACCCACTTGTTGAACGTGTGAGGGACTGAAATCCCCATTCCCTCGTTGAACGTGTGAGGGACTGAAATCCCCATCCCCTTGTTGAACGTGAGAGGAACTGAAACCCCCATTCCCTTGTTGAATGTGAGAGGGACTGAAATCCCCATTCCCTTGTTGAACGTGTGAGGTTTTGAAACCCCCATTCCCTCGTTGAACGTGTGAGGGACTGAAATCCCCATCCCCTTGTTGAACCTGTGAGGGACTGAAACCCCCATTCCCTTGTTGAACGTGAGAGGGACTGAAATCCCCATTCTCTTGTTAAATCCAGTGTTTTCTTCAAAGATCAAACAACGATGCAGTGTTGTGTAAATAAAAGCAAAATATTTATATGCTGTCTCAATTTTATTAAATTCAATTTTGTTTTTTTCTTTATTTTTTTTTAAATAATTGAGCACTAACATTACATAAAATTGATAACACTTAGGCCTACATAGAGTTTCTTCCAGGCATCTCTAACCCCCCCCCCCCCCCGTTGTATTATAAGGCTTAAAAACAAACTGCCCCTAAGGAGGCTTATATTGTAAGCCATATAAACAAATAGATCCACACAAAACAAAATATTAGGTGTGAGACATTTAAACTAATGTTGTCTATTAAGATTGCCTCCTCTACAACACACATGATTTAGCATAATGGAATCCAGCAACTCTCCTGTTTAAAAAATCACCATCGTTGTTGTATGTAAATATAAACACAAGACAAATTTTGAGCTGAGGGAAAACAGAACTTACAACAAAAAACATGAACAAGACAGGGCAAATCTTTGATATACAATATATTTCATTCATCTTTGTTTCAACATTGGCAGTTTGTGGCAGGTTTTTACAATAAAAAATAATCAACAATTTTTAAGTAGAAAGATAAATAGAAAATAGCTATACAATTGAAAGGGTAAAGTGTATGTAAAAACATACTTTTACATAGATAACTTGATTTATGATACTGTAAACTTGGAATAACATAAATTTTGGTAATCTGGGTGTAGCACCTTGGTCATATTAATAAACCTAATTAATTAAACTCATAGTTTCTCTTTAATAAACCCCTGTAATGTCTACGTACCAAACCTAATTATCAACTATGTAATAAGGCAGATGAAGAAGGTGATATTTTAGCAATGTCCAGGTTCCTACACTGGGTTAGAGCACTGCTAAAATACACACTGTGGCTTATTAAGTTACATCCATAGTGGTACGTCACATTACTGGTTATTATTAACCTAATAGTTCAACAACTCTAATCATGAACCTTAACTCTTTTTTAAATTTCTATTTTTACACAAGATTTAAAAAGGCTTGCGGAATCTGGTTCCATAACACAGGTTGCACACTGTATCATTCTTTTCACCTGTCATAGTAACACCAGTAATAGTATGTCATCATGATGCTGCCACTTTCACCATGTCACTGTGTCACCATGGTGCAACAGTCTCACCATGTCATAAGTCACAGCATGTCTTCACTATGTTGCCAGTTTCACTGTGTCACCAGTCTCACTGTGTCACCATGTTTCACATGGTCACAAGTCCCCATGTGACAAGAATATCTTGATAGTGTAGCCACAGTCCCACTATGTCTCCATGGTATCACCAGTTTCACCAAGTCTCCATGGTATCACCAGTTTCACCAAGTCTCAATGGTATCACCAGTCTCACTATGTCTCCATGGTATCACCAGTCTCACTATGTCTCCATGGTATCACCAGTTTCACCAAGTCTCCATGGTATCACCAGTCTCACTATGTCTCCATGGTATCACCAGTCTCACTATGTCTCCATGGTATCACCAGTTTCACCAAGTCTCCATGGTATCACCAGTCTCACTATGTCTCCATGGTATCACCAGTCCCACTATGTCTCCATGGTATCACCAGTCTCACTATGTCTCCATGGTATCACCAGTCTCACTATGTCTCCATGGTATCACCAGTCTCCTGCAACATATCCTGATCTGATTCACTGTCATTCAGCTCCTCAAGAGTCAACACTGGAAGGAAATTTGTGACAACTTAAAACCACCTCAATGATAAAGCAATTTAAGCAAGTTTTACTACTTATTTCATTACTGGTACAGCTTATTAAAGATATTTCTAGGGCTAAGTTTGTTACGAGACCCTGAAACTAGCAGTTACTAACAGAATACAAAAACTAAAACTAAAAACAAAAAAGAAAAGAAAAACAACGAAACAAAAACTGACCCTAACAGATAACAGTAATTTTAGTAGGCCACATAGTTAGGGAAAAAAATTACATGGGCATAAGAAGGCATAACATATCGGAGCTAGTAGTAAAATATGTTAAATCTTTGTTTCAGTTTGTATTGTGCCTGTAGTTAACCACAGGTAAAATATGCATGAGTATGGCGTAATGTTGGCCAGAACAAAACAAGACTGACAGACTTACACTGAAACTCATACTCCTGGGGGTGGGGCTTTAAGACAGCAGCTAACCCAGACACCAGCCTCAGGTACTGCAGCTTAAAGGCACAGCTCTGTAGGGGCAGCTGGGTGTCCAACACATGCAGCAAGGTCACACTCTGGGCCAGTGTGTTCAGGAGGCTTGGCTTGCACGCTCCTTTAGCAACACAGGCTTTATAGCAGTCCAACATCTGACACAGGCTCAACAGAACTGCTTCAACAAACTACAGGTAAACACAGAGGTTATTAGGACTATCTGACACAGGCTCAACAGAATTGCTTCAACAAACTACAGGTAAACACAGAGGTTATTAGGACTATCTGACACAGGCTCAACAGAATTGCTTCAACAAACTACAGGTAAACACAGAGGTTATTAGGACTATCTGACACAGGCTGAACAGAACTGCTTCAACTACAGGTAAACACACAGGTTATTAGGACTATCTGACACAGGCTTTATAACAGTCCAACATCTGACACAGGCTCAACAGAACTGCTTCAACAAACTACAGGTAAACACACAGGTTATAAGGACTTAACTAAATCTATAATGGGTTTCTTTATTTTTACTTCTTTAAAATTAAAAGTATACTTAGCTATAATTACATTACTAAATCTAAAAATTTAATTTGCTAAAATTAAAAATAGAGTTAATCCTGGTTAAAGATAGCTGTTTGTTCACTAAATTTTTCACTATAATTATTCACTACAACTAAATAAAAAGTAATTTTTTATTTTTGCACTAAATATTTTTTTGCTCTTTCACTTTCTACAGCAACTTATAATTACTTCACTAAAAATTATATAGTAATTATACCTACATCCCTAAAAATTAAATGAATCATAATCATTTGAATTCACTTGATTAAGGACAATTAAAGCTGTTATTTGATGGTGAAACTTTATTTTAAAAAATCACAAATATAATGTATAGAAATAAACTGTTGTGTGTACATCATTACCTCATCAGAGCAGGGACATTTGTTGGTTAACAATGTGGTCAGTCCTGTTCTCTGGTCAACCATGATGCTGAACACACAGCTCATATACTGAAGAATATTTATTTTAAATTGCATGATAGACAGTTATATTATGATGAACATTTGTATATATTTGTATATTAGAAAGATCATATACTGAACAATATTTTTATATAATGGTAAGTTGGACACAGATTCAATGTTTTTACAAAAAAAAATACATTATAGCTAAAAAAAAAAGTGTTTATGTGACTGAATGAAATAAAAATATGAGCCCTTGTGTTTACCTCTTTATAAAACTCCATCATATCTCTGTCCTTCACACCAGTACACAGTTTGTGCATTAAGTACAGAGGGCAGGTTTCTGTTGAAGAAAGTAGTAATATGTGTAGCATTGTAAAAATACTGGGATTAATGTTCTCTTTTTCTACTTGCTCTAACCCCAGCCAGCTTCTCAGTAAGTTACCTTTAACCTTTGAGTGAAGCATGTCCCCACTATCAACTTTCAATTAACATTTACTAAATTTTATGATTTTTTTTAACCAGCTTTGGAGATCTCACCCTCTGTGAGAAGAACCAACCAGATTTTGTACACTCTGTCCTTGACTCACCAGATCTTAGCCACCTCCCCCCCAAACTTACCAGATCTTGACCACCTTCTCCCCTCCCTCCAACTTACCAGACCTTGCGCCCCCCCCCCCCCCCCCACCAGAACTGGCACATCATTGATGGGTTTCAAACATGTGGCCAGCACACCCCTCCCCCCCCAACTTACCAGACCTCCCCCTTTCCCCCCCCCCAACTTATCAGATCTTGTACATAGCCTGAGATAAAGTTTCTCATATCTAGTTAGAGAGTGGACAAGCTTGAGTGACCACACCAGAACTGGCACATCATTGATGGGTTTTAAACATGTGGCCAGCACACCCCTCCCCCCCAACTTACCAGACCTCCCCCTCACCCCCAACTTACCAGACCTCCCCCTCCCCCCCCCCCCCCCCAACTTACCAGACCCCCCCCCCTCCCCCCAACTTACCAGATCTTGTACATAGCCTGAGATAAAGTTTCTCATATCTAGTTAGAGAGTGGACAAGCTTGAGTGACCACACCAGAACTGGCACATCATTGATGGGTTTCAAACATGTGGCCAGCACACTCCAGCTGATGAATGTCTCCAGTCTGTGGAACAATGCACAACTTTTAGTTGGTGATTCATCTTACTTTGTTATGTTAAGTGATACAACACAGATCTAGATTGCAGTTTGGGGATTCATCTAACTTTGTTATGTAAAGTGATACAAGATTGCAGTTTGGAGATTTATCTAAGTAAACTGCAATATGGCAGATGACGTACACCTGTTTCTGTGACTTTGATGTTTGAAAAGATTGTACACCAAGCATTAGAACTGACTCAATACATTGATTACACTAGCAGCTTGGGTATCCTGCCACACTGTCCCCTACAAGACATAATAAAACCATCTAGCAACAAGACAGACTTGTGTAAGTGCTACATTGTCCCCTACAAGACATAATAAAACCATCTAGCAACAAGACTGACTTGTGTAAGTGCTACATTGTCCCCTACAAGACATAATAAAACCATCTAGCAACAAGACTGACTTGTGTAAGTGCTACATTGTCCCCTACAAGACATAATAAAACCATCTAGCAACAAGACTGACTTGTGTAAGTGCTACACTGTCCCCTACAACACATAATAAAACCATCTAGCAACAAGACTGACTTGTGTAAGTGCTACACTGTCCCCTACAACACATAATAAAACCATCTAGTCTAGAAACAAGACTGACTTGTGTAAGTGCTACACTGTCCCCTACAAGACATAATAAAACCATCTAGCAACAAGACTGACTTGTGTAAGTGCTACACTGTCCCCTACAAGACATAATAAAACCACCTAGAAACAAGACTGACTTGTGTAAGTGCTACACTGTCCCCTACAAGACATAATAAAACCATCTAGCAACAAGACTGACTTGTGTAAGTGCTACACTGTCCCCTACAAGACATAATAAAACCACCTAGAAACAAGACTGACTTGTGTAAGTGCTACACTGTCCCCTACAAGACATAATAAAACCACCTAGAAACAAGACTGACTTGTGTAAGTGCTACACTGTCCCCTACAAGACATAATAAAACCACCTAGAAACAAGACTGACTTGTGTAAGTGCTCCTCTGTGCTACACTGGACAAGCAGGGTCAGAGTCTTGAGGACTTGTCTGACAACCACTGGACTTGCATGACTTTCCTGTGACAATTTACAAAACATGACATTTCTAATTCTGAACACTACTTGTTGGTGAGGAATCTATACAGCACCTATAAAAAAAATCCTTATATAAGGATGTTTGAAAGTTTGTAAGATATGCTTCTATGGACTTGCCTCTTGACTAGCCAGCCTTAGAAGTAAAAATAACAAGTTTGTGTTGGAGCCTTGGTGGAGTGTGACACTGGGAGGAGGGATGTGACTGTTGGGGCCAACTATCACTCTGATCTCAGACATGGAGCTGCTTTCATCATCAGCTGCTGTCCCTGATGAAGTTTTTGCCTGAAATATTTGAACAGTAGTGTTAAAATAAATGAAATATTTAAACATTTTATTACTTTAAAATGTCAAAACAATATCGGAATTTTTCACCAAGCCAAAAAAACAAAACAATATGCATTAAAAAAGGATGATCAACTTAACATACACAATTGTTTAAGTTGACAATGTTTGCAAAGTGCAACGTTTAGTAAAGACGCCCATTCACAATCTGAAAGTTCAAGGGGGTAGTTTACCTATTTATGTGGTATGGCAGATGATTTGAATTTATGGCCAGTAAAATTATACTCATAACAATCATTTTTAACACGTTTTTCTTAACTCAGCTTCGCGTTTGTTTGTTTGTTTGGATGTTTGTTGTTAAAATTGACATAGAAAATTAGCCCACTTCTGATTGCTCTAGAGATCTGAAATTTGGAATGCAGGCTATTTTCGCCTAACAATTTCAGATGCAATCATAAAAACTAGCAATTAGAGACCTAAATTAGCTTAATTAAATTACGCCCCAAGGACCATAAAATCGAGGACATGATTTCTAAACATACCGACAAGACTGGAGGCGTATTGACACAGTTACTTCGGCCCCAATCTATGTGAGCGCGCTGGCCGTGATCGTATAGTGGTTAGTACTTCGCGTTGTGGCCGCGACAACCCAGGTTCGAATCCTGGTCACGGCATGTAGGCTTAATTAAATTACGCCCTTTCTCTGTTTAAAGCGTATCGGTCGCTCAAGATTTTTAGTCCGTGTATTTATAAACACTTAGTCAAGTCATTTAATCAAGTCATTAGATAAAGTAGAAAATAAACTATATAAAAAACTTTTTAAAAACCACGTTTTTCATGTGTAGCAACGGACTAAAAAGGAGAAAATAAAATACTTAAAAAAAAAACTTTTTAAAAAACCACGTTTTTCTTGTGGACTAAAAAGTAGAAAATAAATTTTTCTTTTGTGCTTCCTCGAGCTGTGCAGGTTCTTGTGATGACTGACAAAAAACGGTGGTACGTTCACCATCAAATTTCCCGACCCATCTGCCCGACCCACGTTTTTTGTCAGTCATCACAAGAACCTGCACAGCTCGAGGAAGCACAAAAGAAAAATTTATTTTCTACTTTTTAGTCCACAAGAAAAACGTGGTTTTTTAAAAAAATTTTTTAAGTATTTTATTCTTATCTTTGAATTTGTTCCATAAAAACACTGTGCACTAAGCTCATAAATGCTAAAAATAATTTTAAGCTACACCTTCAAGTTTAATGTCCACATTTATGTATTCTCTGGTGAGTGAGTTAGAAATGGATACTATGAACTGACCTTTTGTTCTGTATCTGCGGTGGAACAACTACTGGTGAGCAAGTTAGAAATGGATACTATGAACTGACCTTTTGTTCTGTATCTCCTGTGGAACAACTACTGGTGAGCAAGTTAGAAATGGATACTATGAACTGACCTTTTGTTCTGTATCTCCTGTGGAACAACTACTGGTGAGCGAGTTAGAAATGGATACTATGAACTGACCTTTTGTTCTGTATCTCCTGTGGAAGAACTACTGGTGAGCAAGTTAGAAATGGATACTATGAACTGACCTTTTGTTCTGTATCTCCTGTGGAAGAACTACTGGTGAGCAAGTTAGAAATGGATACTATGAACTGACCTTTTGTTCTGTATCTCCTGTGGAACAACTACTGGTGAGCGAGTTAGAAATGGATACTATGAACTGACCTATTGTTCTGTATCTCCTGTGGAAGAACTACTGGTGAGCAAGTTAGAAATGGATACTATGAACTGACCTTTTGTTCTGTATCTCCTGTGGAAGAACTACTGGTGAGCAAGTTAGAAATGGATACTATGAACTGACCTTTTGTTCTGTATCTCCTGTGGAACAACTACTGGTGAGCGAGTTAGAAATGGATACTATGAACTGACCTTTTGTTCTGTATCTCCAGTGGAAGAACTACTGGTGAGCAAGTTAGAAATGGATACTATGAACTGACCTTTTGTTCTGTATCTCCTGTGGAAGAACTACTGGTGAGCAAGTTAGAAATGGATACTATGAACTGACCTTTTGTTCTGTATCTCCTGTGGAACAACTACTGGTGAGCGAGTTAGAAATGGATACTATGAACTGACCTTTTGTTCTGTATCTCCTGTGGAACAACTACTGGTGTGGTCAGAGCTGTCCATCCTCAGACAAGGAGAGGGTGCCAGAGTGGAGCTTAAAATAGCCCGACCTGCAGCAGGCTGCAGCTCCAGGATCAGGTTGAGAATCCCTGCAGCAGAGTAGGCCAGTGTCTCAGCGGTGGCTCTGTCCTGTGGCATGCTCCTACCACCAGACTTCTCACAGCCTGAATCAAAACTGGCGGAGAAGCTTAGTGAGGTCTTCAGGCTAGTGCTGGAGCTAAAGCTGGTAGACAGTGAGGAGCCCTGGGCTCTCAATGCAGGGTTCTGGACCAGTTTTATATAGTGATTGATATAGTCAGACAGCAATGGAAGAATACGTAGAGTAGCCTCTGTTATTTGAGTTTGGACACTAGATGTAACACTATTAGTAACAGTTGCATTGGTGTTGCCTTTGTTGTTAGTACCCGTTGTTGGTTTGTTGCTGCTGGACGTGGTTGGTGCATTGCTTAACACATTGACATGTTGGGATAACTGTTGCAAGTAGTTTTTTAAAAGGGGTTGAGATTCTGAAAAATAAAAGTTAAAAAGGCCTAAAGCACAAAAATATTTTGATTGCATAAACAGAACTTAATTCATACAAAAACTAGTTAAGCTAAAATGTTTCAGTTAACGAATTATTCCTAAAATTAAATTTTTTAAAATCTGGAACCTGGGTAAATTATGTCATTAAAGAGTTACATTTGTTAAAATCAAAATGAAAACTAAAAATGTTACCTAAGGGTGCCTTGTCTTCCAGTAGAAATAACAAACCATCTAAAGCAAGAAGAGACGAATCTGGTGCCTGGGATGTTCCTGACACAAGGGATTTACCATGTCTAGAGATAAATTAATTACAATTAGTCAAGAGAATTAATTGTGTTTAAAGATGTAAAAATGTAAATTTCATATTAGTAAATTTCTGAATAAAAATACTTTTCCTTAATTTTGAAAAGCAAAATATGCTTAAAAAATAAAATATAGTTCTACAGATTTAAAATAAGATATGTTGCCACTGCTTAAATGTAAATATCTTGCTTCTAACTAAATAAAATTTAGTTATCTTGATTCTATTTTAAACAAAACTATGAAGCTTCTATTTACATATCTGGCTTTTAACCCCCCCATCCCCCTTACTCCCCCTATGTGAAACGAACCTTCCAGCTTTTAGAGGAGATGTGAGCGAATCATTTCCTCTTGAGGCTTGGTGTGAGGTGGTCTTGACCAGGTCTGTCAGCCCAGAGTTCCACTGGTGGTCATCATGTGACCTGTACGCCTCCAACAGGTGGTGCACTATCTGTGTACCTGAGGTATATCCACCTGGAAAATACAGGCATATCTGTTACAGTTTTGGGAAACAAGGCTACAATAATCTCATCAAACATATTAAATCTAACATAAAATAAAAATTAAAAAAACATAAGTTTACCATTGAATGTCCGAGCGTTCAGCACAAATCTTTTAGTGGTGCATGTTCTGGCATCATTAGTATGTGTTGGGGTGGCTGTTCTTCTTGTCTCCGCTGCTTTAAATTGTATAGTAAAATAGATCAAACTAAAGGAAATAGTGACAAAAGTACACTGCATTTGTCATGTTAAATTAATTCAAGTCAATACTTATAGCACTAGACCTATTATTTTAAAAAGTACCTGATTGTAAATGGTCTTTGCTGGTAGAAGGAAGTGTTGAACTGGATGCTCTTGTTGTAGCAGACTGCAAATTCAAAGCCCATAGAATGCAAAGATTGCTATTTTAATACACAGGATAAATGTTAAACCAATGCTTTTTTTGTTAAGTCGTTAAAACAAAAAATTTTACAATAATTGTCACTTTAAATTGGAAGGTACCATAACGTTTATAAATGTTAAGGGACATAACTGTTGATTTAAGATGGAAAGTACCATAACTCTTACCTGATCCATAAAAGATAAGCGAGTTGGGAACCCTTGTTGCTGTGACAAGGCAGCTTCATCTTTGTGCTGTTTGCTTGGAGGTGATGGCTGGACATGAATCTAATATAGATAATAGCAATATGTTCAGTATCTTAGAATGGATGGAAACTTTAGTTGGTTTTAGCACAGCATGTGTGACAAATTTTGACAAGGCAGTAAACTACTTTAGATGAACGAGGGATACAGTGCATGTTTGTAACTTCTTAACAGACACTTTTGTGGTAGAATAAATATTAACAAATAAGTACACCAGGGAGGTTGGTGTGGTCAGGTCGGTTAAGCTCATGGTTGGTGAACCAAAAAGGGTCCAGTTCGAACCTCCCAGGCAGAAGATCCGAAGAGGCTCGATAGTTGGGGAGAGTTGCTCTTCTAGGAGTGATAACTCCTAAATCAAACAACTGCTGCCTAGTAGTTTGTTTGTGGTTGGACAAAAGCTATAGAAGCAAATCCAAAAAGAAAAGCAGGCCTATATGGGGCATAACAAGTTGACATGTAATACTTTATTGTGTTTGGAGGGAATTCCTTTCAACACCAGAATAAAGAACAATGAAGAAGAAGAAAGTACTCCAGACCCTAGGCTAAAAGATTAAGCCTGTTATTGCTATTAAGTTATGTGGCATTATTTTTACTCACGGCAATGACTAAACCCTACTGACCTTTCTTGGGCTGCACTTGTTTGGTGACTTTAGAAGACTTTCTTGTTTTATTTGAACTTTCTGCTGTTGTGTGAGCTCCAATTTTCTTAATTTTTGTTGTAATGATTGATATTGCATATTAAGTTCTTGGAATTCTCTTTCCTGGATCAAACAAGTAAAACTGATCTTTAAGGTTATCAACTTTGAAAAAATTTATTGATACATTTTAATACATTACAAAAGTGTGTTACACCTCTAAATATTTAAAGATAGAGCTTTTAAATTAAAAGAGAATTTTCTTACAAATCTTTTTAAAAATATTTAACCCATAGTAATTTTAATAAGCAAGGTTTTAAATTATCTTTCATCAATTATTCACCTTAAACTGTTTTTGTGTGGTCAAACTATCAACTTGCATTTCTAAATTATGTATTTTTTCTGACTTGACCAGCTTTTGCTGCTCCAGTAACTCTTCTCTTTGAGCTCGAAGCTTTTCTAGCTCAGCTTCCTGTTTGTGGACACATTGGCGCAGATAATTCAACTCTCCTTTAGACAGGTATTTTTCTTCTTGGGCGGCTTTTCGCTGGAAAAAAAACCCATAGAACTAAACAAATGCTAAAAAAATAAATAAACCAATATTTAAGATAATTAAATGATGCGTATATTCTTCCAACGCTAAATATTTTAAATGTTAGACAAACTAAAGTGCATACTGTCTGTTCCAACTCTAACTGTAATTTCTGTATCAGGTCTTTAGGAGAGTCAGATTTGCCATTACTTGAATTAGATGACAGAGAACCATTAGAGATAGAACTGGACCTGTTCAAAATTATAATTTGAATTTAGTTTAAAAAGTATTAACAAATACTTAAGTCATACTTTAGAAATTTTAGTTTCCTTGATGTCAATTCAGTAACTTTTCATTTAAAAACAATAGTTAATTAAATTATGTATTTTATATTAACAAAAAAAGCTTTTATACAAGATGACCTATGTTATTCAAAGGATAACTGTACATTGGTAAAAACTACAAGGATACACTTGTTTGTAGACCAGCTGAACTGAATAAAAAGTTGTATTGTTTACTTGATTATTAGCTTCTTCACTTTAATTCTATTTCTTATGTTTTTCATTTTGTTTTAATTTGTCTAGTGTAGGCTCAAAACTATTAACACTTAACAAGAGAGTGGGGGTTAAGTCATCAAAATTTTTAGTTTTTAAAGGGGGGTGCAGTGACCAAAATGTTTGGAAACTGCTGTCCGGGCATGAATGTAATTAAATTAGATGAAGTTTGATTTACTGGAATCTAAATAGATATGTATATATAGTAATATTACATCATAAGTAAAACATGTATAGAAAAATGACATTGGTGGTTAAAAATATTTTTAATGCAAATAATGAATTATAGTTACCTGGATGATGTTGATAAAGGTTGAATAGATAGTTCTGAACTAGAGGAAGATGTGGTCATTTTGACTGACTGTTTTGGGTTGCTAGGAATCAAAAATGAGGACTGGCATTCTTGGTTTTTGGCTGTGCTGAAAGCTGAAGCTTGATTCACCACCTGCGACTAGAAAAAAAAAACAACTTTAAATCATTAGATTATTTAATATTAAATGTAGGCCTACTCAATATTAAAAGAAAATTTTCTTACTTGACTGTAGACTTGTGATGCCATCTGGTCTAAAGTCTCTAGGTCCGCTTGTGTCAAGGCCATCTCGTCATCATCATCCCATTCATCAGGGTCCTTATCTTTCATTTCTTTAACTTCAATTTCCAACTTTCTTTTTTTACAAGCCGACTCTTCAATTTTCCCTGGGTAATCTCTATGGCTGCCATTGTTTGACCAAGACATTTGGACATTTAGACCAAATAAAAAAATGTTGAAAAATGCTGAAAGACAAGAAGCAACATTATTCATTTAAAGCACAAAACAAACATTATGCATGCGTGGTATGTGGTCTGACATAAGATTGTTTGGAGTTTATATTTAACTAACTAAATGCAACAAGCCCGCCAGTTGGTTGAGGCCAGGAAGAGATGTTCTGCTAGGGATACAAACAAAGGCAAAGGGTCAACTTGAAACATCAATGTTAATATTATTTATCTAAAAAATCGTTTCTAGTTTACTAGTTGTAGTCCTAACTCCTAACTCAGTAACTGAACTCCTAACTATATAATATATATTATTATATAATTATAACAAACTAATAGTTGGCCATTAATCATTAAGGGCTTATTCATTATTTAAAAACTACAATTACTACTAACTAGTCCTAGTAAGTAAGTTACAAAGTAACTACTAACTATTCTAGTAACTAGGCCTACAAGTCACAAGAGTCCTAAGCCGAGTAGAGTAAGAAGTTACTAAGAAGAGAACACATCATATTGATCATAAGACTATGAATAGACTATGATGAGAGTTAAGACTAGATCTAGCTACTGTAGAGAGAGAGTCTAATATTACTTTAGTTTTAAACTTTAGCTTTACTTTAGGGCACTTTAGGCCATGGTAGTTTAGGCCTAGTCATAAGATAATTTTTTGGTAATCTATCGTTTTGGGTACGTAAAATCGCCCGCGGCTAGTAATGTACGAAAAAGTTACCTCATTGTCAAGGCTTTAATAGAAGTATATTTTGATATATTTGTGTCAAATATTATAGATAAATGAATAAATAACCTAAATCAATAGCTAAATATATCAATATAGGCAAGAAATTAACTTTTAACAGCAGTGTTTGCTAGCAGGATTTCCTATATTAAACAGCAGCCATTTGTAAAATAGAGTTGCCTTCCCCTGATCTCACGCTATAAATTAACAAAGAAAGAACTTAAACAAGATGGCTGCTAGAGTAAATGAGCATGGTTGCATCTGTTGGAAACATCGCTAGTATTCATTTATTATTGAAAAGTTTTAATTCAATTGTTTGAAAACAGGTACATAAATGAAACAAGGAAACATTTTTGTATTTTTCAAAACACAAATCCTCCTCAAAATGTGAAATAATTATTAAAATTTAAGGAGTCACCTGTTTTTCACATTACTAGTCGCGGGCGATTTTACGTACCCAAAACGATAGATTACCAATTTTTTTAAGTATTTTAAAATTTTAAAGATAAGCCTGGTAGCCAATTTAATTAATAATTAGAATTATTAGTTATTAGTCTATCTAGGCCCTAAAGCCTACTAATTTATTAAATTTAGTAATTATTACAAGATCTATAGACTCTAAATCTATAGGCATAGCTTTAGATAATGAAGTAGAAATCTATCAAAAACAGAAAATTAAAACCAGAAAAAGTACCTCTTCAATGGGAAATCACTAAAATGTGTGTAATCAATACTTCCGTTTAACCAACCAAACGACATTACACTACATTTTTTATTTTATGTAGATCTAGATCCAGATAAATAAAGAAAGGGAAAGATATCTAGAAATCTAGATTTTAATAATATTTGTTAGCTATACCACACAGCAGTAAAACAGAAAAAGAATATCTAGAACTGATCTAGAATCTAGACAAAGTATTCATTGAATAAACTTTGCATTTCGGCTCAGAAAATGGGAAGGTGAACTTTTTTTATAAACCAGGAAGGGGATTTCCCGAAAATGTGTGTATAAACCCTAATGTTTTGTAGTGTAGTGTTTGTTCAAAAAATATTTTCTTCGATTTCTTGGAACTAAAGTAACTTCAGAATATTATTTGGCCTAAATTAAATACAATCAGATCTAGTGTTATATCAATATTTAGCATAATTAAAAGATATGTTGAATGTGTCAAGATATTTGAAATTATGTGGCTGTTTTTATTATTTATTTAGTAATATTTAGGCCTATTTTTTTTTTAGTGTTCATTTCATTTTTGGACTGGTTTTTTTTACTCACTGTTTTATTTAGTTTTCTTTATATTTGATCATCCTCACTCTGTCATATAGAATCTAGATCTAGGTTTTTTTTTTACGCAGCGCCTGCCCAGCATTTTTGACCTTCTGCAGATAGAAATTTTTGTACATCTAGAATCTGGATTTATGCCTAGTCTCTAATGCTAATGTCACAGCTGTTAGCTGTTATCAGTGGTGCAACTAGTACAAGTGCTAGGCTACTGCCTAAATTTACAACAGTAGATCTACCATCTCTACTTCTACCTACTGGTAAAAAAATAAGTTTAATGTTATAGTTTTTTACAGATAGGCTTAACTGATCTTTCACTTAACTGTTCACTTAAGAATCATAGAAAGTAGGCTAAATGAAACAATTTAGGCTTAGCTGATTTATTATAATTTATCCTCTAGATTCCATTAGCTTAATGTTTTTAATAAAGTTTTATCATTTAACCAATCGCATTCACTACATTACTTAATTCATAGTACATAACTACGCAAAAATACTGATATTAGTTATTAGTAATGTGAAATTAATATCTGCCCTACCATATAAAATATATTTGGCATATTAGCCTGTACATCTGAAAGTTGAATATTAGCATTTGGTTACAACTTGTGTTTTCATTAAATAAATTCAATGCAAAATTTGAAAATAAATGTGTTAGGGCACATATATTTTATTATTTAAACTATTGAAATGAGTAACCAGCATCTTATTCCTGTGCCAGATTGATGTTGTGATAACTATGATGAGGTCGATGATAAACTCACCTGGAGCAAGTAAAGATGGTATGATTAAAACTTGTGGCAAATAAAATCATTATATTAGAATTTCACATTAAAAATAAAGTTAATTAAAATTTGTAAAATGAGTACATTAGAATAAGTGATTGAATTATAAAGTTGACCAAGAAATTATTTGAAATATTATGAATTATAATAAATATTTAATGCAAAAAATAATAAACATCATCTTTTATATTGCATCTAACTTTTTAGGGGGTCAAATGATGAATTCAACACATAGTAGCCACAGCCTCACAGATGTAACACTGGAACAGGCTATACTGAAACTACAGGAAATAGATAAAGAAAACATTGCTCTGAGAGGTCACATTTTATCAGCTTACTTGTATATATGCTACTTAATCTAGTCATTAATTCAAACAGAAACTCGAACATTTTTACAGTGTATTGATATGTAAGCCTATAGCAAATTTTGCTAGGCCACACTGATCTTAGTATGAATATAATTTAAAAAGTATCTTGAAAAAAGCTTCTGAGCTATTGAAATTATACTTTGCTATTTCTAATTAATAGATATTTTTTTCTTAATAGAAATGAAAATGTTATCTTTTTTAATAACTTTATACTGCTCTGATAGATAATCTACGTGAAAATAATGCAGTGGTTAAAAAGCAGTATGAAGCACTGTCAACGTGGCGAAAAAAAGAGCAAGAAAAGTTTGAGCGTACTAAGGCGCTAATTACAGCTTTACGAGAAGAAAACCAGGAACATCAAGTCAATTTAATGGCTAAAGCTGATAGAGAGGTAAATAGAAAGGAAAATAGATTTTATTTGTGGTAATTTGAAATGTATATGCATGACAAAAGTAGAAACTAAAATGTTTACTATTATTCTCTAATACTCAACATGTTAAACAGTTAAAATTAAATATTGTTATTATATAAATTAAATATATCTTAATGCTATTTTAAAGTTTTTTAAGGAATTAGTTAAATATGTTTACATGTTAGTTAAATACATTTTCTTTTTAAAATTGTCACATGTATTTTAAAAATTTGTTTTTGAAGAAAGAGCTCACTCAGAGAATACAGGTGCTGGAGGAAGAAAAGGCCCATCTACAACGGCAAAAAGTTATCAGTGACCAGCGATTAATTAATTTTACTAAAATTGCTGCAGAGCAAGGTATGAAAGGATTGCCTTCAGAAGACATAGGAGATTTTTTAGATGATCCTCAAGCGGTAAGGTGTACCTTTTTCTTTAAAAAAGCTTTTTATGCAGTAAGCTTGATAACATTTTTACTACACATCTTTAAATAGTAACATATTTTCTTGGCAAAAAGCTTTTTATGCAGTAAGCTTGATAACATTTTTTACTACACATCTTTAAATAGTAACATTTTCTCAGCAATAGTTTATGTGCCTAGAACAGATGAAATAGAATAAACCTTTATGGTACTTGAATCCATTGTCTGGACAGCCTCATTTTACTGCCTTTACCAGATACTTATAAAAACTTTGTTATCTCTCAAAGACTTAACCTGTTACTTTAAGGTTAGCAGATATGTGCAGTATAATTAGAGTGTATGAATTGATCTTACAAAAAATGTTGTAAGAGTTGAATTCAAATGCACCATTATCTGTTCTAATTAGCTTAATTGTATGATGCAGATGGTGTTTGTGACTACATCGGAAAAAGAAGAAATAATCTCAAATCTTGAAAACGCTGTTGCAAGTAAAGAAGAACTCATATCACAGTTGAGAACAGAAAACATTAAGGTCAGTGTTGGAAAAACTAAGTGTTTTGTTGTATTATGTTGATGCTTAATGTAGGTAGGCATGTTCTCTATACTGGTCCACTTGTTTTCAATAGATCACAATAGGAAATTATATGTGTAATATTGGCTGTTTTGACTACCTTTTCCTAACTATAAGCATATTTCCATTGATGTATTGTCGTTAATAAATTTAAAATAAAAAATGTATAATGAAACCTCATTTTATGATTGATATTTTCATTGATCTTTTTCTAAATCAAAGTTTTAAAATGCATTTAAATAAAAGTTTTTTAATATTTACTATGCTTATAGTTACAATTTTACAGTATAAACTTTAAAAAACTTTTTATTGAAACAAGCCCTTTACTCTTCTGTTACAATTGACTGACTGAGGCTCCTTGTGTAGCCTATATTAAAGCAATGTGTGAAAACCCTTATGTCAACAGCTGGAACATGAACTGACCAAAACCAGAGAGGCCACCAAGCAACTTCTGCAGGACATGGAAGCCCAGCAGAGAATGAAACAAAGTATTGAAGAGGATAACAGAAACCTTACCAAGCAGCTCTTGGCCTCAGAGGAAAAGCTGCATGCACAAATGAAGGTGCTAAAATATTCTGTTGCTTTAAACAGCTTTTATTTCTTTACTCTCATCCTTCAAAGTAGATTAGCAGTTGTTGTTTTTTTCAGCTCTTGCAATTTATAATCACAATAACTATATGTTACCAGTCATGATAATCAAGTAAAAATACATTTTTAGTATTAATTAGTATTTTGCATGCTATTTTAATAACAAGCGGTATTTATAATTTCAGTCTGTGATAGCTGGTACAAAACGTGAAATGCTAGTTGGTAAAAGTTCCCAGGGATTAGCTCCCCATCGTGCCGCTGCTGAAGAAAATATGGATGACACAGCATTTAGTTTTCCTGAAAATGTGGATGATTTAATGAACATTGCAAAATCTCTGGAGGTATTTAAGACATGATTCTTTTTTATTAATAAAAGAATAATAGGATTGTTATGTTTTCTTGAACACCAAGACAGATTTAATATTGTTGCAAAAGTAATTTAGTTTTCTTTTCATGGTTAGAATTTCTTTCATCTTTTATAAGTATTTTCATGATGTCTTAGCTGAAAGTGTTTTTGTCAAACTTTCTGTAAATAATTTTGCCCATATGTATGATATTTGTTTACTAAGATGTTTGTAAACATGACCACATGACGTGTGTTTACATACTGACATGTTTGTAAACAAAAGCACATGTCCACTATTTTTCAGGCCAAGCAGGTTGAGCAGAGATCTGTGGAGGAATTAAAACTCCAGTTGTCAGAAAATAACAAAGCCAAGCAGGCCATGGAGAAAGAGATGGACAAGTTAAAACTTGAGGTTAAAATCTTTGTGATCAAAATTTATTGCGCAATATATTTGTTGGGATTTGCTGTGAGAGGGTTCACCTTTTCAAACCATTATCACCCCCCATTGTGGGCGTTCCTCATACCAATATCCACAAGCTTATTAGTTAACACTTGGTCACAGACATCACAAGATATTAACAGGATACCAATTCTTCCTACTTTAGTCTTTATTCAAACATTGCTAATATCAGTCTACATCAACAGCATAACCCGAACCTGCTTCTTCAATACCTAGCCCCTAACTCCTAGCTTACATTCTATAGCAACAATGTTCTTTCTACCTTCTACGTCACTATCTCACTATGCGCGTCACATCTTCATTCTTTCAACATACACGCACACCAATATTCACTCTCACCAATCTATACTCACAGAACATGCTAATTGTATTAGCACAAATTTTTATATGTATGTATAGTAGGGTGAGAATTCAATGTTATACTTGTCTAAAAAAAGCTGATTTAAAAGGAGTCATGCTATACATTTTAAATTTTTTTATTTATTTCAGTTCAAAGCTTTGTCTGTGCAACACAAAGATGTAACAACAAAGCTGCATGAGATGGAAGCCCAAAGCAAGGAAACAGCTGACAGGCTGGCTCAGGAGTATGAGCTCAAGTTGATGGGGATGGCCAAAAACAATGCACAGGACACCCGGGTAGGAACATGTACATGGCATGCAATATGCTGTTTAAAGTAAAGTTTAAAATAAAATAGTTCAACTAATGAAAAGCTAGAAACACACCTGAAAATGTTCATTCTCCACTTAGAATATCCTGACCCATTCTGAAAATGGGCATATTTTGTTTCAGTGCAATTTATTAATCATACTTTTTGATAAAAATATAGACACTCCAAGCAAGTGAAACAGAAGACATGTCCATCCTGAGGTCACAAGTTCTTACTTTAATTAGAGAAGTTGATGAAGCTCAGAACAAACTGTCTGCTGCCATGGAAGCTATTAATGTAAAAGATGACAGGTTTGTCAACCAATTAATGTGAAAGGATAGGTTTGTCAGTTGTCAGAGTCATCAATGTGAAAGATGATAGGTTTGTCAGTGTGCTAATGATACTGTTGACACTTTGCAGACATCTTTAAAAATTTGCATTCTTTTAAATAACATTTTATCCCATGCTTTTTGAGAAACCAAATTGAATAATTTTCTACCAGGATCAAAGAACTCGAGCAACTGAGCACCAACTTGAAACTGGAGTACCAGCGACACTGGCAGGAGTCAAATGACATGATACAACAGCTGCGCTCTCAGGTCAGCCAGTACCAAAAGTCCCAACAAGAAAACATTAGCTTCAGGTTAGATTCAAATTATTTCCCTCCTGGGTTATAAATTCTTGTTCTAAATTTATCTCACTATGTGAGAAATATTGCAAGACAAAATGTTGTTATTATTGTTTATTTAAAAGGAATACTAAAACATATTTGTGATTTCTCATACATCTTTTGTGTTTTTAGGTCAAAATAGTTAAATAATTTTACATTTATTTGATGATAGACTTCAACACCAGCGATTACAAGAAAACTTCAGTAAATTAGTGACAGATTATAAAGAGCTCCAAGAAATGTTTGAAAGCTATCGTCAACAAATGGTATGTTGTTTTTTACTACTCTGCTATAACTCCTTTTATCATTTAGCATGTGACATTGATCCAGTATCACAAACAGTTAACTAAAATCATCCTGAATGTAAATCTATTAGGAGAGACAACCACAGCGGCACAGTAAAGAGGCCCTGGAAGAAATCAACAGACTAACAGCACAGGTCATAGCTGCAGATGAAGCCATCGCATACAGGGATGAACAGATAGAAATGCTGAGGCAGAGAAATGCTCATGATTCACAGCTGGATGAAGAAATACAACTCCTTAAATTTCAGGTTCTTTTTGTCTTTAACTACTTACAAAACTTAAAAGCAATCGTGCAAGGAAACAAAAAACAAGTTAATTAAAAAAGTCTAGTGGCATTTATGCGCAATTTCCTTATGTTATCTAAAAATAGCTCTGACGTATAATGTTGGGGTGCGTTCAAGCTAGAAGAACGATCGTTTTGTAGGTGTTTATGTAATTTTAAAATTTGTGACCGAACGAAAGGATATTTGTGAAAACAATCTTCGGCAATATTGTTCTAAATTATGGCAGGAATCGATTGGTACATGTTTCAAGTCGCTAAGTGGTCTGGTTGCCGAGATATGGGCCAAAAACTGAATTTTTTCGAGGTTTTTTGGCTTTTCCGGGAAAAACATGAAAGAAACCCGGAATTTTTATGGCCTATGCTCATTCTCGTAACTTGCTTAACATAATTGCTTTTGAAACTAGTCATCGATATTGCTTCGTTGAGGAGGAGATACGACTTAAAGCTGCGGACACACATCCATACATTCATCCATCCATTCCCAGAAATGACGAGTTAATAAACGCAATTCTCCAGAATGGAAATTGCGCTAAAAATGAATATTTAATCTCCTAGGTCTGAGTCCAGTCCAATCATCCACTGAGGAATTTTTATTTGCTAATGCATTATGGACTCTCTTAATGTCTTAGTTTTTGTTAAAATAATTTTCAAATAATAACAAGTTCTGCTGGCAATACTGTTTTACGTTGGGGACATCGTGGTTGGATGCTAGCGCTTAAGACTACCTGAAAGTCTTGAGATCGGGTCTATTCTTGAGTATATAGGACTTCCCATAGTCCAGCCAGCTCTGATGTGCACCTGACTTACATTAAGTAAATAAGGGTGGCTGGGCATAGTGCTGACCACACTGTCCGTCTGTATGCCAAGGTCATTGAAACAGATGAACTCTACTTCATCTGCCTCATGTTTCTTGTGCACGAACAGGAGTGAATTACATTAAGATTTTTTAATAGATCAAATAGAGAACATTTCTTTCTTTTTAGTAAACATAATATTCTGTTGTTTATTCTAAGAGACTTCATTTCCAGTTTAACTTTTCCCATTCATAATTTTATAACATGTTAATGAGTATAATAATGTTAATGAGTATAAATTAATTGAAACCAAATGAACTTCAGATCAGTCTTTTGATCCTGTCCATGCATGTTCTAGGCTGATTTGTACAAGAGTGACTTTCAAGCTGAGAGGGAGGGGAGGACGAAACTGGCAGAGGAAAAAGTCAAACTTTTAGAAGACCAAGAGAAATTGATTGTAAACATTCAAGAGCTGCAAGAAAGTAACAGGAGGCTGAAAGAAGAGTTGGATACATTCAACCAGAGACAGATCAACGAGATGCAGCGTCGACTCAGGGAGCAAAGCATGGTAGGTAGATGTGTTGTTTGTAAGATGGTAGGTTGATGTGTTGTTTGTAAGATGGTAGGTAAATGTGTTGTTGGTTGTGAGATGGTAGGTAGATGTGTTTTTGGTTGCGAGATGGTTGGTCTATGTGTTGTTGGTTGTGATATGGTTGGTAGTTGTGTTGTTGGTTGTGATATGGTAGATAGATGTGTTGTTGTTTGTGAGATGTATGGTAGATGTATTTAGTAGGCTGAAGGATGGTGTTTAAAGTTTAATTGGTTATGTTTGAAGGAACATGAATAGATATTATGTTTTTTAAAATATATATCATAGTTTTCAGTGGAAATCCTAATATTGTTAAAATGTTGGCCCCTTTATAATAGCTGATAGGATAAAGTTCTGAATTATTTTTGCATAGAAATAACATACTATTTATTTCATCATTTAATTAACCAAGCCCAGAAATAATTTTTACAGATGAACATTACATAAACAATTTTCTCCTTTCCTAGCACTCAACATTAGAAAGTTCCAACAGATATCAAACTCCTCCACAACAATCTTACCGCCCACCAAGTACATACTACATGCAGGTGTGTATGTCTAGAGTAGGTTTTACATATAACATGCATGTGTATGTCTATTTCAGACACAAGTATATCAATGTCTTTAGTGGGTTTAGTTTAAGTGTTTTTAAGTATGTAATTTCAAAGAAAGTTTTTTTTGTAACCCTTTAGGATTTCTTACCATTACACTAAATTACAGATACTTCTTTAATCTTTTCACTAAAAAGATATCAATAGTCTTTTAAAATAATATTAATTTCTTTCTGTAATAAATCTCCACAAATAACAATTTTCTTTTGTCCTGTGTAGGAGTCTGCAGCCTCTCAGCAAGCTACACGAAGACCTACAGATGATGATGACGACCTGCAGAGCTTTCAACAGTACGAGTGTCCCAAATGTGGCATCAAGTACCCTGATGTAGATTCCCTGCAGCTGCATGTGCCAGACTGTATTGATAACCCTTAACTTTGGCACAAATTATTATAAAAAACATAACACAGGTACAAGCTTCATTGTGGTAACCAAGACATTCTTAAACAATTCATGCTCTGGAGTTGTTTGTTTAAATATTAATTGTTGAGTGGAAAAAGAAGTATTGTGCTTACATAATTTATTTTGGCTACAAAGTTTAGTTTTATAGACTTTATTTTGTTCTTCAAACTGTAATTTAAGCAGGTTTGTTGGTCTTTTTTATTGGTTTTTTTTTTTTACATCTGTGATTTGTGTATAAGGCAATTGAATGATTATTTGCATATTGAAACGATTTACTACATTAATCATTTATTTAAGGCGCACATTATAAAAATAAGGATTGGTTGTTCTTAACTGAACATTTCCATAGTATGAATGTATATTTTATTCCAAATGTTATTTTGTTAAGTGTACATTTTATCTGACCAATTTAGGGGATGGAATATTTTATTTTGTGTCACGCAAGACCTGTATGATAAGCAAGGACTTTTAAAAAAGTGTAATGCTTTAGTTTCCTCAGTTTACTGGAGATGGAAACAAGTGCAATTAAAATACAGGCGAGTTTTGTTGATGTCAATTTCATAAGGATGTCTTTTATTATGTAATACTTTTTTAAAATGTTTATACTGATTGTTGACAAGGCAACCATGATTTGATTATCTGTGGATCATCATTCTGTTTTTAATTGACTGTCTAGACATTAATAATGACCAATAAAACTGATCATCATGCTTTTAACTTTTTATTTTTAACACGTTTTTCTTAACTCAGCTTCGCGTTTGTTTGTTTGTTTGGATGTTTGTTGTTAAAATTGACATCGAAAATTAGCCCACTTCTGATTGCTCTATAGACCTGAAATTTGGCATGCATGCTACTTTCGCCTAACAATTTCAGATGCAATCATAAAAACTAGCAATTAGTGACCGTAATTAGCTTAATTTAATTACGCCCCAAGGACCATAAAATTGAGGACATGATTTCTAAAGATACCGACAAGACTGGAGGCCTATTGACCCAGTTACTTCGGCCCCAATCGATGTGAGCGCGCTGGCCGTGATCGTATAGTGGTTAGTACTTCGCGTTGTGGCAGCGACAACCCAGGTTCGAATCCTGGTCGCTCAAGTTTTTAGTCCGTGTATTTATAAACACTTTTTTAAAAACCACGTTTTTCAAGTGGGTCGGGCAGATGGGTCGGGAAATTTGATGGTGAACGTACCCACGTTTTTTGTCAGTCATCACAAGAACCTGCACAGCTCGAGGAAGCACAAAAGAAAATTTTATTTTCTACTTTTTAGTCCACAAGAAAAACGTGGTTTTTTAAAAAGTTTTTTTTAAGTATTTTATTTAATAATTAGATTAATCAATACATCTTTTAATCAGTAATGAACGGGTGGTGGTGTTTGCATACTGCAATTTTAAAAGCCCTAATGAGCTCAATAAAACCATGGGGGAAAAAAAGTCATAATATAAAGTTCAAAGATTTTTTTTTTTCAAAACCTAAGTTGATGTAAAACAAATTTTAGAGGATACAATCTAAGGTGTCTGTAATCACTAGTCCAAAACATTTTTTTATTTTATTTTATTTCTTACCATATTTTACATAATAAACTTGCAATCAATTGGTTTAAATTCTAACAAAATGCAAAACACTTGGCTATTGCTTGTTTGGAGGTACCCATGCTTCTATTTTGGGCTTAGTAGTGGTGTAAGGTACATATTCTTGAGGAGTTCCAGTGAGATTTTCAGTGTAATCAGCCATCCATTTTCTTTGAGGAAGAGGGTTGGTGCTTGGTGGCTCATCCGCTATGTAGTGCATCCACCTGTGCCTGAAATCAAACAATATAAGAAATGTATCAAGAATCTGAATTTATCTCCGCATAAGCAGCTACAAAAAAACATTTTTCAGTTTGTCTCAAAACTAGCATTTATTATTAGTCTACTTATGTAATTATAAGTTTGCAAGTACAAAGTTGGTACCATTCTGGTGGGATCTGGCTGGCATCATAATCAAAGCCAACTGATTGTGGGTAAGACACCCAACGACTTCTACCTGTAAAACAAAAATGGTGAAACCAATTATCAGTAATCTTTGATCCAAAAATATCAATATTTATACCAAAATATACAGAGCCAAATTGGGGAGGGGTCATCCTTATACAACTGTGCTCATGTTAAAAACAACACAACTCATGACAATTTCTAATTATAATCTATATATATAATTCTCTTCTTCGAGCTGTTAGAAAACAAGCTGCAAACGCTCTCCCTACCTCCCCACCCCTACATGGTTTTAGTGAGCTGTGTTCACTCTAAATGTTTACAAGCAGAGCCAACGATTTTAAACGTAGGGGGGGGGGGTTATGGTCCTTAACGAGCTACTTATAGTGTTTTAAAGAAATATTTTCAGTGTCAGCGTTGGTACTGTCGAATTCACAAATTATGAATTATTGAAAATTAGAAACAACTAAATAGCGGCGTATGTTATGCCGCGGGCCGGCTCGTATAACTTATTTAAGCCATGATGAAGATAAAAGAAATACAGATGTTATGACTTCAGTTCGGCGGAAGAAGAACAGGAGAAAGTATTCGTTGTACAGGGATGGAAAACTATGTCATGTGAGCTCAATAGATAGAAACATTTCATTCAAATGGTTGTCACATTATGACAAATTTTAAAAAATGATAACTTACCAATGAAATAATATTTGTTTTCATAATACTTGTTGCCAAATTTGTCCTCACCAACTAATGTACCCCACTTTAGGTCATCATGTCTGTGAAAAAAAGGAGATACATACAGAAATTTAAAATTCTAATTTAGCCGACAATTTAAATTTAATTGTCAAATATTTTTCATCTAAGGCTAAGAGATATTTTTAATCCACCACTAAGTTATATGACTAGAGCTGCCCCTCCAAATTTATACAACAAATCAAGAACATAGTAATAAATGCGCACATAATTCATGCTAGTCTTCAGGAAAATTTCATTAAATAGGAAAAAAATTGTATAGTTTTTTGGGAAAAATATCTAAAAAAAACTACTCTTGGCTCTTACCCCATGTAACAACCTAGCCCCAACCCTAGTCCTAATGTAATTAGTATGCCTAACCCTAATTTTTAACCATGAAGTTTGGTCAAGATTACAATATTACCAATAGTGACAGGACAAATGATCTTAGACAAATAATCTCAGGACAAATGGTATCACAGACAAACGATCTCAGAAAAAATTTCTCCCAGCAAAATATGTATGGTATTTAGGATGATTTTAGTCTTCTTCTTCCTCGTTCTTAATTATAGTGTCCCGAGGGATCCCCTTCCAACACAATTAAGTATACCAACCAAGAAAAAACTACAAGGTAGCAGTTGTTGCAGCAGTTGTTTGATTTTAGAATTGTGTCTCATAGAAGAATGGCTGTCCCCAGCTAGCGAGCCTCATCTGCCAGAGGGTTCGAACTCGAGACTTTTCTGTTTAACTTTACCAACTCGACCACGCCAACTCCTTGAGTTTAGTCAATTTTAACATTTTTAAATTGAGTGTCATATGGATTTTATTGACTGTTTTAACTTTAACACATAATAATTGTGAGATATACTAAATGAATTTGTTTAACTTATAAAAACCATCAAAAGACTAATAAAACTTTAATTTTTAAAAAGCATTTTATATAAAACGTATAAGAACTGAAAATGCATTAAACAAATAAAATGATGAAAGCCTTAAACACATTAATGTTCAAAACATGTGAAATAGTTTTGAAAAGGTGATTGGGTCTACAGGTTCGCTATGACCACTGTCGGTAAAATAAGCATTCATCACATGATCACTAAGGTGTGATCGAAATATAACTATTGACTTTAGATGCTAGTTGTATTGTCCATGGAGGGCAGATGTTTTTCCCTTTGAGCCCCGTCCGAGCGGCCACCTTGCTAAGTAGGTGTGTTTTCATAGCCCTTCGAGTGATCCACTTTTATCTAATTTCGTCCACCTAATGTGAAAGAATAGTCTCTTGATCGGCAAGCCCACCTACACTGTCTATTGAAACTTAGTTTGAAACTACACATTTTATTTTTCTAATTGCAATTTTAAATATGTTTAATCAAGTTTAATGTTATGTGACAAACCTATGAAACAAAAATTTTCTCACAATTATTATGTGTACTAAAAAAAAACCATATGCCAGCCAATTTTAATAAATGTTAAAATCGACTAAAATCAGCGCAAATGCTACAATATTTTGCTGTGAGATGTTTTGTCTGGGTTATTTTGTCTAAGATCATTTGTCATGAACACTACCAACAACAAAACAAACTAAAAAGTCTATTATCTGACATTGGAGCCAATAATGCCTTACTTGGTTGTTGTTACTAGATCTGCTTATTACTTTGGCTCTACTATACTTACTAGATTATAGTTTGGTCCAGTCATAATTTAATAGTATAGCTGGTATAATTGATAACATAAATCTCTATGCTATAAATAAAACTATTTCCAGCTGAGCCTAATCAAATATAATTTTACATATTCTAAGTGCACTGTAAACTAATGTAATTAATTATTAAGTGTAGACGTAGTTATAGTGAAAGAGAAATCACTGGCAAAAGCCATGCTGTAAGCCAGTGTACTAAATTATTAAGGTGTGTTTACTTATCATATTCACTTCAATCAGACAATTCAGTCATTTGTTTTTTGCAGTTTACATTTTATAGGCCCCTACTCGTTTAGTTTAGGCTTAAGAGTATAATAATAATAGATATAGATCGAATTAATATTAATATTACTTATTTTTAATGTCATCCTGGTAATGATGGCTGCCGAAAACGACAATATCGTGATTCCATTTTTTATTTTTTTAAGTATTATTTAATGATACCGGTCTAGTTTTAACAATAGACGATTAGTGTTTAATGCAAACTTGCCATTTGTAAATTTGTACATTTTTTTTTGTCTAATCGCTGAGAATATCGAAACATAATAAACAAAGCAAAACGTGAATTGCTGTATTTGATATTGGTCTAAACTTACTGAAAATATATAGGCGCCTAGCGTGAGATTCAGGGGAAGCCACTCAATTTTACAAATGGCTGCTGTTTATTTACTGTTTATATATATAGCAAATCTTGCTTGCAAACACTGCTGTTTAAAGTTAATTTCTGGCCTATATAATATATTTAATATTTAGCCGTTGATTTATGTTTATTAATATTAAGTATTAGGCCTATGGCCTATCTAATCATTTATCTATATTCTATACTATAATATTTGGCACAAATTATGCATTTTGATGACAATTTCAAAATGATTTTTTAATTTAAAAAAGTATCAATAATAGCTAGCACACTAGTAAACTAAGCCAATTTAGCATATATTAACTTTCTGTGCAGTCATTATTAATGAAAAAAAATTACAAAGTCAGGTCGGCCTGTGGCACCTTTCACTGAACTTGACTAAAGGAAAAAATATTTGACCTGTGACCTTCATTAAAACAGAATTTACTTATGTTTTTTTTTAACTATTAGTAAACATGTGCTTAGTCTTACCCAATAAGTAATAAAAATTTGAAAATTAATTTTAATTGCTGTTGTAAAGTGAGATAAACAGCTTAATAAACACATGCTTTCTTGAGGGGGTGTGGCCCGGGTGTGGCACATCGCATTGTAACTTTATATTTCTGTGTTTTATGACTATATTTGTACACAATCAGGATGCTATGCTATTAAAATTGATAAAGGGTAAGTATACCAAGTTACAAAACCTGAAATCTATTCATACTTTCAGTTTAAAAAATAATGAAAACGATCATCAATGAAGAAAGCGTAAACATTCTATTTTTAGGTGTGACATAAAAAACAGTCATAAATCTAGCCAAATGATTGTATTCTTGCGCGTCACACATTTTCACGCGCTTCATGATTATAATAAAATGGCATTATTATTCTTACAGAGCTTATCTCATGCCTACAATAAATTATTACCAGTTTATTGTAATGTGTGTAAAATTAATGCTTTCAAGTTTTAAATAATTAAATAAGCATAGTCTGGTTAAAAATAGCAGTGGTATTTTATAGTTATTTGATTCGAAAGATAAGAATTATATAGAGCTACTTTCACTAAGGCGCCGCTTGCGAGACAAACCAAGAAATCAGGCCAAAAGTAGATCAGACAATTCTTAAATAACAGACTTAAATAGAACAGATAGTTCCGATTTCTAAAATTAACGATGGCTTCGTAATCATTAGTTTTAGGATCCCTCTACCCATTAGTGAAAGCAAAACTGGTCACCATTTTTGGTAAGCGCATGAGCCGTAAGCTGGCTTCAAAACAACAAACCCGGAAGCTGTGAATCGAACGGCCTACACAAATAATTATTGAAATATATCACAATGTAGTTAGTCTCATATGAATTCAATTTTCTTCAAATTATGAAAAGAATAGCATATAATTGTAGAGCTTTAAAAATGCAATCCAACAGTACCAATTTTATTAATTTAGCATAATTGGTTGATTAAATATAATTTTTTTAGTGTCGCAAATAAAATATATAGAAACGCGACCAAAAACGCAGGTAAAAAGTCAAATCCACTTGTTTTAAAGCTAGTAAGCAAGAAAAGACATGATTCTTTCTTACTATTGAAATCAGTTTGCTTATACCTACATTTTTTTTACACCAAGGTGAAAGTAAATAGTTTATATAAATTTATAAAATGCCATTTATATAATTCATTGTATTTTTTGTCATGAATTTTCAATTGGAAAATACCGCATTTGGAAGCAGAAAGGTAAATTCTACAGAACATATGTTGTTTGGAATGTTATAGATTATAGATCTAGGCCTATATCAAAATGTTTGTTTAATAAAATTCAATTAGAGTCCACCCATTTCTGATGGGTACCTGATATACATTGGGGAAATTAAAGGTAAAAAGTAAAGGCGGCTGTGAATAGCGCTGACCACACGGACAATAACTTCATATGCCGAGGTCAAGAAACATGAACTCCATCTGCCAAATAGATTGCTTTGTCTACAGAGGAATCTTAATTATTGTTTACAGGGGCCTAATAAAATTGAGTTATGTTTGTAAAAACATTAGGCCTAAGCTTTAAAAACTTATTTTGGTCAATATCGGAAAAAATAAAAATCTTTTCGACTAAATGGGTTGAAAAAAGCTTTGAATTTGTTTCATTGTTTGTTATTATATCTTGTAGTATTTAGAATTGAGGCTTTCTTTCTTAATTACAAGTTGTATTAATTTCAAACCTTAATGTAATTTCTTTTTAATTCAGTATTAGCCTAAATGTAAGGTAGGCTACAGAATTCAGATATTACCTATGGTTTTGTGATTTTTATATGCTTATAACATTTGTATTTATGAAATGACCTAATGAAGTTATCAAGCAAACTGTTTTATTATTATTTTAATAGGCCTGCAAGTTATAAGTACAAAATATAGATATCTAATCACTAGATCTAGGTCTAAGTTTAAGAAAAAACTACCAAAAGGGTTTGAAATACTTAAATATAGTACTAAAAGTAGCTATGTTTTGAAAAAAAAATATCTTAAACTGGAGACATTCAATTTAAAAGTCATTATAAAAACTCCACGATCTAGATTTATTTCTAGATCTCTAGTAGGAATACAGATTTAGAGGCTTTCCCATCAGTATCAATGTACTATCTTAGCTATGTGGGAGGTCAGTACGAGTTCACTGGGAAAAAAATCGGATCTGCCGTAGGGGGGTGGGTTTAGTGCGCAAATGCTCCTGACCGATTGCCAAAAGGTACAGAAATTCTAAAGATACATTTTAAAAGAAAAATGGACGGCTGAACTGCAGGTATCAAAATATCTGTGTAAGTAGAAGTATAAATAATAATATTTTACACAAATATAGCTGTCTTTTGCTAAATCTAGCTCAATTGCCACGAAAATCGCATCCGGTCGCAATAATTTTTATATCAGCTTGTCGGCCATTCAACGATCTATCACGTGTAGCAGACGCCAAACAGATTTACCCGTATGGTATTGCGCGAATGCTATTTTTAGCATCAGTGCCGAGACGCGATCGAAAAAAACAAACTAGAAAGTGGCCATAAAAAAGCGGGTCAGGGGAGGTAATTCAACTCGCGTTATGAGACTAGCTACACAATGTGAATATACTTCTATTAAAGCCTTGACAATGAGGTAACTTTTTTGTACATTACTAGCCGCGGGCGATTTTACGTACCTAAAACGATAGATTAGCCTACCAAAGTTTGAACTGTTTGTTTCAAATGTTTACTTACAGTTTTACTAGTTTTCTAGTATTCTACTCACTCTAGACTAGAGTCTTCTAGATTCTAGAATCTAGAATACTCTTCTTACTCTAGCTAGATTCTAGGGTAATCTATCGTTTTGGGTACGTAAAATCGCCCGCGGCTATTTATGTACGAAAACGTTACCTCATTGTCAAGGCTTTAATAGAAGTATATTGTCATACTTTTGTGTCAAATATTATAGATAAATAAATAATAAACCTAAATCAATGGCTAAATATATCGATATAGGCCAGAAATTAACTTTAAACAGCAGTGTCTGAGAGCAAGATTTGCTATATAAACAGCAGCCATTTGTAAAATAGAGTGGCTTCCCCCTGAATCTGGCGCTAAAAGCTTATAAAAATAAAACTTAGACAAGATGGCTGCTATAGTAAATGAGTATGGGTGCATCTGTTGGAAACATCGCTAGTCTTCATTTATTACGGAAAAGTTTTAATTCAATTGTTTAAAAACAGGTACATAAATGAATCAAGGAAACATTTTTGAATTTTTTAAAACATAAATCCTCCTCAAAATGTGAAATAATTATTAAAATTTAAGGAGTCACCTGTTTTTCACATTACAAATCTCGGGCGATTTTACGTACCCAAAACGATAGATTACCGATTCTAGATCTAGATCTGTTGATTCGGTGGAATCTAGGTCTAGATCTAGTAGGCCTAATTATACTAATTAATAACTTCATCTATCTAATACTCACCGAAATAACTTCAAGTAGCTCCCAATAATGCCATTATTCTGTGATATTATCTTTCTTATGTTAGACAACACCTTAATAACAGACATTTTTGTTTTGATTCTGGACGACCTTGGTTGAAAACAGGAAATAGATGTTCAGAACGAAACCGTATCTACAAATATACTCCAGGATTTTATGATCCACTAAACCATTTTGTCCTATTTTTAAAAAAAAAAATTCTTTTAAATATAGATCTAGATCTATATTAATACGGACAATAAGGACTACGCTTAGAGCTAAGATCTAGAACCTTTTTTCTTGTTCACATTTATTTCAACAACTTTAAAAAAACTTTTTAAAAAAAATATTTTAAAAATGAAAAAAAAGAACTGTGTCCGACTGTATCGGACGGGCTACCAACGAGCGCCCATTCACGGGTGCGATCCCACTACTGCGCGACACGGGGACTTTTGCCTGCTGGGTTTCCCCCCTGGGCCGGTTCGTCCCTCCTTAGTCAACCTGGAGATCTCAAGCTCCCCCAAGATCACCATATTGATGCCGGGCTTAGTGCGGACACCCGATCGACATGGCACGCCCGAGAGCAGAACCCCCGCCCTCAAGCCGTCCAACAGCTCAAGCCTCCAAGTAGCTGGATTACAGGAGCACGCCACAACTCCCAGCGAGAGAAACCGCAAATTTTAACTATATATACTTATATTAAATTTAGTATTACTTATTTGGTATTATTTTTTTAGTTTTAATATGAAATTTAATGTTTTATCATCAAAGTTGCACTGTGAGGTAAATAATTAGCAGAATTATAAATTATTTTGCCTGATGTTCAGTGTTTGATGACAAAATGTATTGCCTCGTTTTCGATTTCAATGGCGGAATTCAGAAGGGACATCAGCCATTTATTATTCAGATTTTACGTTTCCAAAATTATGTCCCTTAGGTAAAATAAAATGTGTAAGCCCTGGTAGTAGACAATAATTATGATAATGATATCGCTTCTATATTTAGATCTACCGAATAAGCTCATTTTTCAAAATTCGTTAGGAGACAAAGGATTACGGCTGGACGTTTAGTTATACCACATTTGGGTGTAAAAGACAAATTTCAGTATTTATAACACTATAATGAATAATTATTTTGGGTATCACAACTCAAATAGCATAGAAAAGTTAAAGAGCATTCTAATTAATAATGAATGCTCAACAGTAGCGTAGCGAGGAGGGGGGGGGGGGGGGCGGGGGGGGGGACATATGTCCCCGGGAACCGAGCTTAGGGGGCGCCAAAATGGGTTGGAAAAATAAATTGAAAGGTTGAGAAGGTGGAAATTGAAAGTTTGAGGGGGGGGGGGGTGCAAATAAAAATCTCGAGGGGGGGTGCAAATCGAAAGTATGAGGGGGGTTGCAAATCGAAATCTCGAGGGGGGGGGGGTGCAAATCGAAAAGTTTGTCCCCGGGCGCCGGGTAGGGTCGCTACGCCTCTGATGCTCAACAGAGTTTCTTCCAGGCATCTCTTCGGGGGGTGGGGGGTGGTGGCTTTGCCCCCCCCCCCCCCCGAAATTTTTTTTCGCCCCCCCCCCCCCCCCCCCCCCGAACGAAATGAAATTTATATAATTTATATAGAAAATATATACTTTTAACAGTGTCCGCCCCCCCCCCCCCCCCCCCCCGGAAGAAAGTTTACCGCCCCTCCCCAGAAAATTTCAAGTGCCCCCCCCCCCCCCCCCCCCCGGAGAAAAAAGTCTGGAAGAAACACTGATGCACAAGACGGTCAAGTAGGGATAGTGATAGTTAAATGACACTATTATCAGGCCTACTTTTATCATTTTACATTACTTTCACTAAATGATCTGAGGGTAATGTCGGGAGGGGGGGGGGTGCTCTTTTCTTACAGATATCGGAGGCGGATGCTGGTTAAAGTATATATATATTTTAATATACACATATATTTTATCTATTTCGTCTGTGAGATTGGGACGTGCCCCGAGACATAGACTGAAGGCGACACTTAAATAGCTGCAAGACCATACCGTATGACCTCTCTGGTTTATGCTCTGTTCTGTGCCTCTGGAGACAACGGGTCCACGCAGAGAAGGACATATAGAGACCGTGGGTTGATCGTGCATCTCGGCTTTTGCTGGTGTGGTCCAAAGGAATGCTTAGTATGACGCTTGGTGCTAGCTTTGTTGGTGTTAATTAATGTGGGTTTAATAAGATAACATAATTATTATTCTTACTCTGTTCAACATAAATAGCTAATGACAACTTATTCTCATTTTTATCGATACAAGTAAAAGTTGTGACTAGAAGATTTAGCGACGGCGTGGTCGAGTGGTAGAGCGTGCGACTGCTAAAGTTTGGTCTATTTGATGTCCCTGAGTTCACAACATCTGATGGGAAAGGAACGAGCTGTCCACACTATCTCTTCATATATCGATATCACAGAAATAGCTGTAGACTACACCTGCCCTACCATTTCAGTACCAACCGCTGGGTTCAAAAGGGTAAATTACCCGAAGATTTATCTAAATCTATATATATAATTCTCTTCTGGGAGCCGTTAGAAAACAAGCTGCAAACGCTTGGGGGAGGGGGGGAAGGAAGGGGGGGGGGGGTTATGGTCCTTAACGAGCTACTTATAGTGTTTTAAAGAAATATTTTCAGTGTCAGCGTTGGTACTGTCGAATTCACAAATTATGAATTATTGAAAATTAGAAACAACTAAATAGCGGCGTATGTTATGCCGCGGGCCGGCTCGTATCTTTATAATCCAATACAAATTTCAGATGATATATTAAATTATTCCTTTCGGACATAAACAAAAACGAGATGGAAGGAAAGATGGGTCCAACTTGATTATATCGAACTTTGCTTGAGGGTACTAGGGCATAGCGAAGTGGACATTGTCCAACGAACAATCGCCACTGTGCGCACAAGGGCACATCGAGACGGACATTGGCTAGCGAGTGTCAGGACCTCCTGTATAGTTTGGAAATTCCCAGTAAAAATTAGCCAATCATTAAAAATAATAAATAAAATTAAGTGTCCTATTTTTAGTTACACTTTCAGCAAAATGTTAGTTTTACGATACCCAGTAAAGAAAATGTCTGCACAATGGTTAGTACACACATCATTACATCTTTATTTTACGGCAGAACTTTCTGGTGGAAATTGATCTCATTACATAGAAGAAATAAAAACTAAAGCCAGCATACAACAACATCAGGGCCTAGTAGTATCGAATCATTCTTCAACATACACACACAAGATCCGGATTCGATGAAACTAGCTCACGTATTTAGCTGACTTGTGATACACAGAAACCAGCTAGAACACAATGGCATAACAAGAAGGACAATGTCCTACGAACAATGGCCAGTGGTGACACGATTTTCTTTAAGGACAATGGCCAAAGGAAGACATTCCCAGCAGGACATTTGGAGAATTCGCAGCTAGCCTTCTAAAACAAACATCTTTTGTATAGTCAGTGCAAAGCTGAGTGTTTGGTTTCTCATGTCCAGTAAAATTATTTTAAAAACAATGTCAAGCTTTCAATTTGAAGTTTCGCTTGCGACAGCGAAGTATTTTTAGCTCTTGACAATTTATGGATTAGCCAGCACTCACGCAAAGAGGTAATTAATTTCTAATCCTGAGTTTAGGCTATGAGATATTTGGGGAGGGGTGGGAGGGGTTTGAACCTTTCCCCCCCACCCCCCCCCCCACCCCGCGGATTCTAAAATCGAAAGTTAAATTGAGATAAGATATTGACGAAGGTACGCTTGTGTCGGTAATGTTTACTCTTCGCCAAATTTCATTTTACCGCAATTTCAGAGGCGCAGCGACCCTTACCGGCGCCCGGGGACAAACTTTCAATTTGCACCCCTCCTCCCCTCAAACTTGAAATTTTCGGGGGGGGGGGGGGGGGCGGTAAACTTTCTTCGGGGGGGGGACGGACACTGTTAAAAGTATATATTTTCTATATAAATTATATAAATTTCATTTCGTTCGGGGGGGGGGGGGGGGGGGCGGTAAAAAAATTTCGGGGGGGGGGGGGGGGGGCAAAGCCCCCCCGAAGAAATACCTGGAAGAAACTCTGCACACTCCAGCAGGCAGGGCAGACTGTAGTCTAAAACTCTTTCAGGCAGCCTAGAAAATTTCCTAATCAGTCATTTTATTGAAACAGCCTCAGTTGTGACATCTTCCTTTATTTTTGTTCCACTCTTTCTTGAAGTTTCTCGCTTACTAAAGGTTCCATATCGAGGCAGGCTGAAGCTAGAACCCATTCTGTAACCCCGGCCACATCTTTAGTCTTAAGTTAGACACGAACTCCCCATGGGTAGCTTATTTATTTACCAACACACCTAGGCTTATGTTAGACAATAATTTGCCAATTTGTAGCATATTTATTTACCAACACACCTAGGCTTATGTTAGACAATAATTTCCCAATTTGTAGCGTACGGTTTTTGAAAAACCATAGGCTTATGTTTGGCACTAATTCCCCATCATGAAACATATTTTTAATGTTAGGCTACATCTAGAGACACATTGAAAGATTGAAAGCAAGATGGCCTCTTTCTCATGATGTCGACTTCTTAAGGAAATAGAACAAGGGTATTTTATCAATTTAATAATTCAATTTATTGATGGCATTTTTATTAGTTTTCCTTAAAAAATTGAATTAAAAGATAACTTAATTACATCTTTTAAAAGGAAAATATTATTTATCTAAATACAAAATAATAGAAGAAAAAAAAACAATAATTTACAATAATTTAATGACAACACCTTATAAAAGTAATGACAACACTTTATGGAAGTAAATGGGAACATATTATGTGGAATAAAAGCAGAACTTAATCAAAAACCTAGTTTAATACAGATGTGAATATCTTATAAGCCACGCCCATAATGCTGTAAACAAATCAACAACATTACCACATGTCTAATAATAGCTCAGCTCCGTCCTACAACTCTCGGCTGAGCATTTAATTATTCGCCATCAACACTGTTTCCATCCAAGTTGGTCGTGGTGTACACAAATCCAATGCCACGTTTTTTTTTTGTTATTTAAAAAAAATAGCACTCAGTAAATTCTTAGATATACAAACAACTCGGTCCTTCTGCATAACTATGCGCTTGTCCATATGATTGGCCATACTGTGAATATGAGCTTGACCACACGCTTGATTATATTCTTGACCATATTCTTGGCACAAGCTTGACCGTATCCTTGAACTTGAGTTGAAACCACGTGGTTATTAGACCATGCGCTTAACCAGACGTTTGATTATATTCATTAACATATTCTTGGCCACACGCTCATTGACAATACGTTTGTCAACCACAAGCTTGACCATACTATGGACTACATGCTTGTTGACAACACGCTTGTTGACCACACACATGTTGACCACACGCTTGACCATATACTTGACCATACGCTTGACCATATACTTGACCACACGCTTGACCATATTCTTGGCCATACGCTTGTTGACCATACACACATGTTGACCACACGCTTGACCATTTCCTTGACCCCACACATGTTGACTACACACGTCAACATATATTTAACGGAGTATCCAAGCAAATGGAGCACTGTAATCACGTGCTGTGCTGACGACTGAAGGTACGGCTAATCCAGCCAGCGTAAAGCACTTAGTCTGGTAGTAAACCACTCAACACGTACTCTCTAGCGTGTTCTCCTGCTTCTGCTTCAACTCGCTGCCCTCGGTACTCTCTCGAGTCTTTAGACCGACGAGTCGGAGAAATCTGGAAAGTAGAGAGGACATTTGTATTGGAACTACAACAGCAATCCACAACTCTACTTCTCAATGCTTCGTAGTGTTATTATAAATCTTTAGAATTAAACGTATTAATGAGAAATGAAGGGAAGAGGGAATTTAATCACAAACTCAGACGTCCGGTTAAAAATGAGAGGTAAGAAACAGAGGCGTATCCAGGTTTTCGTTGTAGGGGGAGCGAAAAGAGCAAAAAAAGGCGCCGAATTTTTAACACGTTCTATATACGCGTATATATATATATATAATTACTAGCTGTATGTCATTCCTGCGCTATGATGTAAAATAAATTGAAGTAGCACTCTGAAGAAATAAGAAAAAACACACAATGTAGACCGACAAAACAAAAATTGTATCAATCTAAACAAAAAAAAAAAAAAAACAAAAAAAAATATACACACACACTACAACCAAAAACAATGAACGCAACACAATCTGTTTTGTAATCTATAATAATAGTTTCGCTGTCTCTCTATCTATCTATCTATCTATCTATCTATCTATCTATCTATCTATCTATCTATCTATCTATCTATCTATCTATCTATCTATCTATCTATCTATCTATCTATCTATCTATCTATCTATCTATCTATCTATCTATCTATCTATCTATCTATCTATCTATCTATCTATCTATCTATCTATCTATCTATCTATCTATCTATCTATCTATCTATCTGTCTGACAAGAACGCTCTAGAGAAAAGACAAGCAATTTAAAAACATGCATAGTAATTCGAAAAACGAAGTATGACGTCGACACATTTAGCATAGAGTTGAAAATAATCTCACAGTAATATAATGACGTCATTGATTCTGGCGTAAACATTGAATAAAGAGGAAATGTTGTCTAATCTAAGTGGTTTGCGTGAAGAGTTTCTTGCATACAATTCTTCGGGTAGGGGCGAAGCCCCATCCCCCGCGTAAGAACGTCTGAGCCCCCCCCCCCCCCCCCCCCCCTCCCCAACTCAAAAGAAATTTCTTCATCGATACTCTATAATAAAATTACCGCCTAATTAATGTGTCTAATCTCAAAAGTGGTTTTCTTGCAATTTCTTTAATGCAATTCTTCGGGTAGTGGCTAAGCGCGACACCAGTGTTTCTTTCAGACTTTTTCCTCCCCGGAAAGGGGTGGGGGTAATTGAAATTTTCGGGGGCGGGGGTAGAATTTTCGGGGAGGGGGGCGGACACTGGAAAAAGTATATAATTATATTTCGTTGAATGGGACGGTAGACATGTTTTTTTTTTTGGGAGTGGGGGGGGTGGGGGGTGGGGGGGGGGGTGGGGGGTGGGGGGGGGGTGGGGTGGTTTCTTCATCGATACTCTATAATAAAATTACCGCCTAATTAATGTGTCTAATCTAAAAAGTGGTTTTCTCGCAATTTCTTTAATGCAATTCTTCGCGTAGTGGCTAAGCGCGACACCAGTGTTTCTCTCAGACTTTTTCCTCCCCGGAGAGGGGTGGGGTACTTGAAATTTTCGGGGGCGGGGGTAGAATTTTCGGGGAGGGGGCGGACACTGGAAAAAGTATATAATTATATTTCGCTGAATGGGACGGTAGACATGTTTTTTTGGGGGCTGGGGGTGGGGGTGGGTTGGGGGGGTGAGGGTGGGGGTGGTGTGTGGGGGGGGGGGGGGTGGGTTGGTTTTAGTTTAGAGAAAAGAGACAGCACTATCAACCTAGCGCCCGGTGTATCCTTCCTCAACGGGCCATTTTTCTCGTTCTTGTAAAAATAATCGCAATTGTCCGTATGGAAATTGCGCTAAAAATTCTTACATATTTCCTTGGAAATTATTTAAGACAAGTGAAATAGGGGAAATAATAACTCTCTTAATATAAATATGTATATATCTACACATTTAATTATACATGTCAAAACAAATAAACAATTGCTTAAGAATAAAATGAAATTGTTTAACACTATTCGTGTTTACAAAATGTTTTTGTCTATAATCAGAATTAAATATATCGTCATCATAAATGCTAAAGTATTACAGCATAATGAAAGTTTTTGAAATCAGAGTTGGTATAAAAGCTCGCTTTTCGACATAATAGAAAAACATTCGGATTATCAGCCTACATTAACTAAATATCGTTTTTTTAGTTCAGATCATATATTTTTTTAATTAACTACTGCTTCTTTGTGTTCTTTAAAGATCAGTTTTACTTTCTCGTATATACGAAGTATAGAGAAAGTCTTGTAATCGTGCAAAAAAAATCGAGATTTTTACAAATCTCGACGTTTACATCTAACTGATACGGAAAAACATAATTTTGCAATCTTGTCTGTATGTCTGTGTGTCTGTCTGTGTGTAAACACGCTAACTTGTCCGGTCACTTTAGGTCAATTATCCAACCCAGTGTATACCTAGGTGTGACATTAATGTCGCTCTACATAATTGTGGTGGTGAGGTGTGTGTGTGGGGGGGGGGGGGGGGAGAGATAACCAACTCAGAGTGAACATAGCGTCAGTTTTTAGATGACTGTTCTAAGCATACATATATATATATATATATATATATATATATATATATATATATATATATATATATATATATATTACACATGTATACTGATTCAGAAATAGATTTCAATATTTGTTTACAGAAGGGTCCATGGGGGAGGGGGGTTGTAACTGTTTCATATAATTTGTAATCGTAATCATTATCGCCCAAACTGTCATATACTACTACTTCATCGTGATGACGTTGTTGACCGTGTCAAAATTTTCCCACCGCTACGCAGTTTGCCCATAAGTAATTCTAAATAGAGGTGCCACATCAGTTGTATTTGTTTCTGTATTGTAATTTTTTTTAAATTAATCACACGATTCAAACTTTATATATAAAGTAATTATGTGTGAAGTTTTATGTATAATATTTTCTAATGCAATTATTCGTAAGCAAATACATTATACAGTTGCCTTAAACTTAACACCCCTCTTGCCGAGTGGTACTACCCGTAAAGGTTTTTTAAACATTGCAATGCATAGTAATGGCTTTTTTTAGGATGGCAAACTGAAGCAGCTGTTAATACGTGTTGTAAACGTGGACACTACTAGACTAGTACAATAATGCTTAATTGCTGCATGAAAAGAAATCTTGTGATTTACATAGATGTGCCGACCAAAAATATTTTGTTAACAAAATTCAAACTTTGAGTTTAAAAAGTTTCCAAAAAAGGCGCCATTTTGCTGAAAATGGCCAGAGGGGGAGCAGCCGCTCCCCCTGCTCCCCCCCCCCCTGCGTACGCTACTGGTAAGAAAATAATTGTTTTGGCTAGTCTCGATTTATGTAAGATCTGGCTCTATAGCACTAGAAATGAGAAGAAAATCTTTTACACGCGAATAAAGACTTCATTTCTTTTTTTTTTTTAACCATTAAAGCCAGAACAACAATTTTTACCCAGCTTAGCAGAACAATTTTCTGAAAACCAGGTTAAAACTTGGAGGTTTGCGTTGAATTTGGCCTATTTCTTTTGTGTGGGAGAACTTTTGTGTACTGAATGATGGGTAACAAGCTTTTAACTCGTGTAGTTAAAAACTTCCATTGTGCACGGAAAATTGGTTTCCATTTAATTTATTCAAAGATTTACAAAACAATCGTTTTTAATTAAAGGACTTTCAAAACATTCAGTTCCATTCATACTATTACAAAGCAGTCGATTTTTAGAAGTTCTTATTTAGGAACTGACGTTCAACAATCAAGCTCCTTGAATACTTTATGTAGACCTACTCAGCACAACCCCTAGTCTTCCTTATTTCCCCAATTCGAGTCAGGTACGCAAATAGAGCTGAGAAAGTTCTGGCTAGACGCAGCGTTACTATCACGAACATTTTCCTGTATTTTGCCTCGAATCGTCAGAACAGTAGTTAACTCACCAGCCCAGTAGTTCCCTAAACTCACCCATCCAGTAGTTCCCTAGACTCACCCATCCAACAGCTCCCTAAACTCACCCATCCACTAGTTCCCTAAACTCACCCACCCAACAGCTCCCTAAACTCACCCATCCACTAGCTCCCTAAACTCACCCACCCAACAGCTCCCTAAACTCACCCATCCAACAGCTCTTTATAACCGTGCCTAAAGTGGTGGTTCATGAGACCATACAGCAGCCAGTTGATGCTGCTGTTGAGGATGGACGTGCAGGTGCAGGCCACCCACCCATTAGTTCCCTAAACTCACCCACCCAGTAGTACCCTAAACCCATCCATCCAGTAGTTCCATAAACTCACCCATCCAGTAGTTCCCTAAACTCACCCATCCAATAGTTCCCTAAACTCCCATTCAGTAGTTCCCTAAACTCACCCATCCAACAGCTCCCTAAACTCATCCACCCAGTAGTTCCCTAAACTCACCCATCCAGTAGTTCCCTAAACTCACCCACCCAGTAGTTCCCTAAACTCACCCATCCAGTAGTTCCCTAAACTCACCCACCCAGTAGTTCCCTAAACTCTCCCACCCACTAGTTCCCTAAACTCACCCACCCAGTAGTTCCCTAAACTCCCATTCAGTAGTTCCCTAAAATCGCCCACCCAGTAGTTCCCTAAACTCACCCACCCAGTAGTTCCCTAAACTCACCCATCCAATAGTTCCCTAAACTCACCCACCCAGTAGTACCCTAAACCCATCCATCCAGTAGTTCCATAAATTCACCCATCCAGTAGTTCCCTAAACTCACCCATCCAACAGCTCTTTATAACCGTGCCTAAAGTGGTGGTTCATGAGACCATACAGCAGCCAGTTGATGCTGCTGTTGAGGATGGACGTGCAGGTGCAGGCCACCCACCCATTAGTTCCCTAAACTCACCCACCCAGTAGTACCCTAAACCCATCCATCCAGTAGTTCCATAAACTCACCCATCCAGTAGTTCCCTAAACTCACCCATCCAATAGTTCCCTAAACTCCCATTCAGTAGTTCCCTAAACTCACCCATCCAACAGCTCCCTAAACTCATCCACCCAGTAGTTCCCTAAACTCACCCATCCAGTAGTTCCCTAAACTCACCCACCCAGTAGTTCCCTAAACTCACCCATCCAGTAGTTCCCTAAACTCACCCACCCAGTAGTTCCCTAAACTCTCCCACCCACTAGTTCCCTAAACTCACCCACCCAGTAGTTCCCTAAACTCCCATTCAGTAGTTCCCTAAAATCGCCCACCCAGTAGTTCCCTAAACTCACCCACCCAGTAGTTCCCTAAACTCACCCATCCAATAGTTCCCTAAACTCACCCACCCAGTAGTACCCTAAACCCATCCATCCAGTAGTTCCATAAATTCACCCATCCAGTAGTTCCCTAAACTCACCCATCCAACAGCTCCCTAAACTCATCCACCCAGTAGTTCCCTAAACTCACCCATCCAGTAGTTCCCTAAACTCACCCACCCAGTAGTTCCCTAAACTCACCCATCCAGTAGTTCCCTAAACTCACCCACCCAGTAGTTCCCTAAACTCTCCCACCCACTAGTTCCCTAAACTCACCCACCCAGTAGTTCCCTAAACTCCCATTCAGTAGTTCCCTAAAATCGCCCACCCAGTAGTTCCCTAAACTCACCCACCCAGTAGTTCCCTAAACTCACCCATCCAATAGTTCCCTAAACTCACCCACCCAGTAGTACCCTAAACCCATCCATCCAGTAGTTCCATAAACTCACCCATCCAGTAGTTCCCTAAACTCACCCATCCAACAGCTCCCTAAACTCATCCACCCAGTAGTTCCCTAAACTCACCCACCCAGTAGTTCCCTAAACTCACCCATCCAGTAGTTCCCTAAACTCCCATTCAGTAGTTCCCTAAACTCGCCCACCCAGTAGTTCCCTAAACTCACCCACCCAGTAGTTCCCTAAACTCACCCATCCAATAGTTCCCTAAACTCACCCACCCAGTAGTTCCCTAAACTCGCTCACCCATTAGTTCCCTAAACTCACCCACCCAGTTGTACCCTAAACCCATCCAACAGTTCCCTAAACTCACCCACCCAGTAGTTCCCTAAACCCATCCAATAGTTCCCTAAACTCACCCACCCAGTAGTTCCCTAAACTCGCTCACCCATTAGTTCCCTAAACTCACCCACCCAGTAGTTCCCTAAACTCACCCACCCAGTAGTTCCCTAAACTCACCCATCCAATAGTTCCCTAAACTCACCCAAATAGTAGTTCCCTAAACTCGCTCACCCATTAGTTCCCTAAACTCACCCACCCAGTAGTACCCTAAACCCATCCAATAGTTCCCTAAACTCACCCACCCAGTAGTTCCCTAAACTCGCTCACCCATTAGTTCCCTAAACTCACCCACCCAGTATTTCCCTAAATTCACCCACCCAGTAGTTCCCTAAACTCACCCATTCAGTAGTTCCCTAAACTCGCCCACCCAGTAGTTCCCTAAACTCACCCACCCAGTAGTTCCCTAAACTCACCCATCCAATAGTTCTCTAAACTCACCCACCCAGTAGTTCCCTAAACTCGCTCACCCATTAGTTCCCTAAACTCATCCACCCAGTTGTACCCTAAACCCATCCAACAGTTCCCTAAACTCACCCACCCAGTAGTTCCCTAAACCCATCCAATAGTTCCCTAAACACACCCACCCAGTAGTTCCCTAAACTCGCTCACCCATTAGTTCCCTAAACTCACCCACCCAGTAGTTCCCTAAACTCACCCACCCAGTAGTTCCCTAAACTCACCCATCCAATAGTTCCCTAAACTCACCCAAATAGTAGTTCCCTAAACTCGCTCACCCATTAGTTCCCTAAACTCACCCACCCAGTAGTACCCTAAACCCATCCAATAGTTCCCTAAACTCACCCACCCAGTAGTTCCCTAAACTCGCTCACCCATTAGTTCCCTAAACTCACCCACCCAGTATTTCCCTAAATTCACCCACCCAGTAGTTCCCTAAATTCACCCATCCAGTAGTTCCCTAAACTTACCCATCCAGTAGTTCCCTAAACTCACCCATCCCTTAGTTCCCTAAACTCACCCACCCACTAGTTCCCTAAACTCACCTATCCAGTTGTTCTCTAAACTCACCCATCTAGTAAACTCACCCACCCAGTAGTTCCCTAAACTCACTCATCAAGTAGTTCCCTAAACTCACCCATCCAGTAGTTCCTTAAACTCACCCACCCAATAGTTCCCTAAACTCACCCATCCAGTAAACTCACCCACCCACTAGTTCCCTAAACTCACCCACCCATTAGTTCCCTAAACTCACCCATCCAACAGCTCCTTATAACCGTGCCTGAAGTGGTGGTTCATGAGACCGTACAGCAGCCAGTTGATGCTGCTGTTGAGGATGGACGTGCAGGTGCAGGCCAGTAGTTCCCTAAACTCACCCACCCACTAGTTCCCTAAACTCACCCATCCAACAGCTCCCTAAACTCACCCATCCAGTAGTTCCCTAAACTCACCCACCCAGTAGTTCCCTAAACTCACCCATCCAGTAAACTCACCCACCCACTAGTTCCCTAAACTCACCCATCCAACAGCTCCCTAAACTCACCCACCCACTATTCCATAAACTCACCCACCCAGTAGTTCCCTAAACTCACCCACCCAGTAGTTCCCTAAACTCACCCATCCAGTAAACTCACCCACCCACTAGTTCCCTAAACTCACCCATCCAACAGCTCCCTAAACTCACCCACCCACTATTCCATAAACTCACCCACCCAGTAGTTCCCTAAACTCACCCATCCACTAGTTCCCTAAACTCACCCACCCAACAGCTCCCTAAACTCACCCATCCAGTAAACTCACCGATCCAGTAGTTCCCTAAACTCACCCACCCAGTAGTTCCCTAAACTCACCCATCCAGTAAACTCACCCACCCACTAGTTCCCTAAACTCACCCACCCAGTAGTTCCCTAAACTCACCCATTCAGTAAACTTACCCATCCAGTAGTTCCCTAAACTCACCCACCCACTAGTTCCCTAAACTCACCCACCCACTAGTTCCCTAAACTCACCCACCCACTAGTTCCCTAAACTCACCCACCCAGTAGTTCCCTAAACTCACCCATTCAGTAAACTTACCCATCCAGTAGTTCCCTAAACTCACCCACCCACTAGTTCCCTAAACTCACCCACCCACTAGTTCCCTAAACTCACCCACCCACTAGTTCCCTAAACTCACCCATCCAACAGCTCTTTATAACCGTGCCTAAAGTGGTGGTTCATGAGACCATACAGCAGCCAGTTGATGCTGCTGTTGAGGATGGACGTGCAGGTGCAGGCCACCCACCCAGTAGTTCCCTAAACTCACCCATCCATTAGTTCCCTAAACTCACCCACCCACTAGTTCCCTAAACTCACCCATCCAACAGCTCTTTATAACCGTGCCTAAAGTGGTGGTTCATGAGACCATACAGCAGCCAGTTGATGCTGCTGTTGAGGATGGACGTGCAGGTGCAGGCCACCCACCCAGTAGTTCCCTAAACTCACCCATCCATTAGTTCCCTAAACTCACCCATCCATTAGTTCCCTAAACTCACCCATCCAGCAGCTCCTTATAACCGTGCCTAAAGTGGTGGTTCATGAGACCATACAGCAGCCAGTTGATGCTGCTGTTGAGGATGGACGTGCAGGTGCAGGCCAGTAGTTCCCTAAACTCACCCACCCAGTAGTTCCCTAAACTCACCCACCCAGTAGTACCCTAAACCCATCCAGTAGTTCCCTAAACTCACCCATCCAGTAAACTCACCCATCCATTAGTTCCCTAAACTCACCCATCCAGCAGCTCCTTATAACCGTGCCTAAAGTGGTGGTTCATGAGACCATACAACAGCCAGTTGATGCTGCTGTTGAGGATGGACGTGCAGGTGCAGGCCACGTGCGCCGTGGACGGCCAGCTGTTGTCCGTGTCGATGAGCAGGGACATCATGTAGGGCGTCATGAAGACGGCCAGACAGACGAAGACGACGAAGAGAGACTTCATCATGTTGATGTCTGACTTGGATACACGCCGCTCTGGGAGAGGAAATACGGCATGCATGTTGGGATATGGTGAGAAGCAAAAGGATTGGGGGTGGGGGGTGCATGTTGGGATATGGTGAGCAACCAATGGATGGGGGGGGGGGAGCATGTAGGAATATGGTGGGTAGCCAATGGGTGGGGGGGTGTTGGGATATGGTGGGTAGCCAATGGGTGGGGGGATGATGATGTTGGGATATGGTGGCTAGCCAATGGATGGGGAGGGGATGTTGATGTTGGGATATGGTGGGTAGCCAATGGATGGGGGGATGTTGGGATTATGGTGGGTAGCCAATGGATGGGGGGGGGGGTGGATGTTGGGATATGGTGGGTAGCCAATGGATGGGGTTGCATGTTGGGATATGGTGGGTAGCCAATGGATGGGGGGGGGGGTGGATGTTGGGATATGGTGGGTAGCCAATGGATGGGGTTGCATGTTGGGATATGGTGGGTAGCCAATGGATGGGGTTGCATGTTGGGATATGGTGGGTAGCCAATGGATGGGGTTGCATGTTGGGATATGGTGGGTAGCCAATGGATGGGGGGGGGTGGATGTTGGGATATGGTGGGTAGCCAATGGATGGGGGGGGTGGATGTTGGGATATGGTGGGTAGCCAATGGATGGGGTTGCATGTTGGGATATGGTGGGTAGCCAATGGATGGGGGGGTGGATGTTGGGATATGGTGGGTAGCCAATGGATGGGGGGGTGGATGTTGGGATATGGTGGGTAGCCAATGGATGGGGTTGCATGTTGGGATATGGTGGGTAGCCAATGGATGGGGGGGGTGGATGTTGGGATATGGTGGGTAGCCAATGGATGGGGTTGCATGTTGGGATGTGATGGGTAGCTAAAGGATGGGGGGGGGGATGTTGGGATATGGTGGGTAGCCAATGGATGGGGGGTGGATGTTGGGATATGGTGGGTAGCCAATGGATGGGGGGTGGATGTTGGGATATGGTGGGTAGCCAATGGATGGGGGAGTGGATGTTGGGATATGGTGGGTAGCCAATGGATGGGGGGATGTTGATGTTGGGATATGGTGGGTAGCCAATGGATGGGGGGGTGTTGATGTTGGGATATGGTGGGTAGCCAATGGATGGGGGGATGTTGATGTTGGGATATGGTGGGTAGCCAATGGATGGGGGGATGTTGATGTTGGGATATGGTGGGTAAGCAATGGGTGGGGGGATGTTGATGCTGGGATATGGTGGGTAGCCAATGGATGGGGAGTGGATGTTGGGATATGGTGGGTAAGCAATGGGTGGGGGGATGTTGATGTTGGGATATGGTGGGTAGCCAATCAATGGGGGGGGGGGGTGTCGATGTTGGGATATGGTGGGTAGCCAATGGATAGGGGGTGGATGTTGGGATATGGTGGGTAGCCATTCAATGGGGGGGGTGTCGATGTTGGGATATGGTGGGTAGCCAATCAATGGGGGGTGTCGATGTTGGGATATGGTGGGTAGCCAATGGATGGGGAGTGGATGTTGGGATATGGTGGGTAGCCAATGGATGGGGGTTGGATGTTGGGATATGGTGGGTAGCAAAATGATGTGGGAGGGGGGGGGGATAAAAGTGAAAGTCAGGTTGTGGTAAGTATCGGAAAAAGGGTGGGGATAAGGAGTGGGGTTCAAATGTCGCCCTATTGCCCTATTCGTTACTTTATTAGCCCTCTAAGATCAATCTCAGATGATTCTCCAATTATTTACTGGATGTATTCTTCTAAATTCAAACGTGGGTTCAGTTTTAGCAAATTCTATATAGTTACAAGCAACCTGGATGAATTGGTTTTATTTCTATTTGATGGCACTATTTTAATATACATAGTCTCTCTTCTTCTATAGGATTATTATACTTTTATGTTTCTTTTAGATAGGATTGTCACATTTTGGTATTTCTTTTAGATAGGACTGTCCCATTTCGGTTTTTCTACTTGATAGGATTGTCCAATTTTGATTGTATCTAGACCGTTTAGCTTGCATGGGACGTTCTAGTTTCTGTTATTAGCAAAGTTTTTCTTGGAATGTACATTTATCCCAGTCCCCCTTCATAATTAAATATCAACTTGATACAAATATTTGAATATCCTAGATCTATATCTATTAAAAATAAGACAAGTTTTGTTAAATTAAATGGCGGAAGTAAGTCAGAGAGCATTAGATCTACAAGATGAAGTCTCGTTTGATTAAGCTAGAGAGCATTAGATCTACACAATGAAGTCTTATTTTGATAAAGTCAGAGAGCATTAGATCTACACAATGAAGTCTTGTTTTGATTAAGTCAGAGAGCATTAGATCTACAAGATGAAGTCTTGTTTTGATTAAGTCAGAGAGCATTAGATCTACACAATGAAGTCTTGTTTTGATTAAGTCAGAGAGCATTAGATCTACACAATGAAGTCTTGTTTTGATTAAGTCAGAGAGCATTAGATCTACACAATGAAGTCTTGTTTTGATAAAGTCAGAGAGCATTAGATCTACACAATGAAGTCTTATTTTGATAAAGTCAGAGAGCGTTAGATCTACACAATGAAGTCTTGTTTTGATTAAGTCAGAGAGCATTAGATCTACACAATGAAGTCTTATTTTTATTAAGTCAGAGAGCATTAGATCTACACAATGAAGTCTTGTTTTGATTAAGTCAGAGAGCGTTAGATCTACACAATGAAGTCTTATTTTGATTAAGTCAGAGAGCGTTAGATCTACACAATGAAGTCTTATTTTTATTAAGTCAGAGAGCGTTAGATCTACAAGATAAAGTCTCAAGTTTGATGTCGCCTGCTTCAAGGACCTGAAGTAGTGAGTCAGCTGGGAATCGCCTAGGGGATTATCATTGGCTGTACCAGGAACAGGTAGACTTCGGGCTACCGTGTCTAATTTTAGAACTCACTATTGACCAATCGAAACCGTGGAAATAATGTGCCACAAAACTGAAACGACGTGGACAACCCCTGGGCAGGGGTGAGTGGGTGGCGTGTAAAATATAGAAACCGAAAGAAAATGAGGACTATATAAATGTTTATCATTTAGTATGGGGCACATTTTTTTAAAAAACATACTCCACGAAAGTTCGCAGAATTAGTTTTAAGAATTAAAAAATGATGTCCATTTTACGTTCTGCTGTTTTGAAATCTTACACGTGGTTGCTCATCATGATTATGAATTGTTCCTCTCTGCCGGTGATTGAGAACCCTTGCAGGCTGAACTTGAACGTTGAGCAAGACCTGTCTCAATCAGTGGGCGACATGCTGATCTCCCTGACCACTGAGGCCAACTACGGCAGGGCGCTGTGTCAGAACATCACGGACAAGATCGCCCGCATCTACCTGACCAGGGACGAGGTCCAGCTAGTCAAGAACCTGAACCTCCCGTTTCCTCAGTACTCAGCAGACGACTCCAGCCGTGGCGTCGGCGTGCAAGGCTTACAACAAGACTACAGCGACCTCTCTCGGTACATCGTGTACTTTGACGTGGGGGTTAAAACAACTTTCAAAGGCTTGGAAGATTTACAAGATCTGAGCAAAGTTTTGAAAAGTTTTTCAAGCCTTTTATGCAAAACTGACCAACTTCTACGAAAACACAAAAGCCCAGTGACCCAATTCTTTGACCCGTCTCCGCTTCAGACAGCGTTCAGAACTCTCCAGGACGACAAGCAGAAGTATAAAGGAAGCTTCGGACTTGTTCGGTGCGCCACGGCATTTCTACAAGGCATGTCTGATCACTACAGTCACGTATACAAGATGCTAAATTAACTGTACACCACCTAGAAGATTCCGTCCTTTCAGAGAAAGCCATCATACCACATGTAACGAATTCCAATCAATTGCTGCAATATTAATGTATTTATTTATTAGTAACTTAATTTATACTTTATTTAAATTATTGTATATAATTATTGAGTTATAGACACACATCTTCGAGTTTTAATACAATTTATTCTTATGAATTTTTATTCATATCTGTATGTTTTTTTTAAAAGTTTAAATGAGTTAATTATTTCAAACTGGATGTATGGCCTACACAACAGCATTTCTGTTTACACATTCTCGTACTTGAAATACTATTCAATTTTTAATACTTTAACAACCTTAAACCACTTAAAATATGCAGATATTTTACTTTATGTTAATTTTGACTATTATTTTCGCAAGAATTGTGAGAACGCTGTATTTTTTTAAAAAAATATCTTGTAAAGTTGAAAAACATTGCGTGCCCACTGACCCGGAGCTGTGAAGCTTCAAGATTCCTGTTTCTGTTGACGTGGATACGTTTTATTTTTATAAAAAAAATGCAACATTTTTCACAGAAATTTCTAGAAGGTAGATTACATCAGTCTCCAGTGGTTTTTCCAGTCCCGTAGATTTTCCAACCCACCCATGTCACAAGACGTGGTGGACCAACAGGATATTTTGACGTACCTGTGGCACGCCGTTCCCAATCACTGAAACATTGTGCCCACGTCATAGCGGTACTGTTCCCGTCAATAGCCGGATCTGCACTGTCTGTCGGGATGGTGAATTTATTGCGGCGTGTTTCGGTAATTAGCGACTGCTTCTACTTTGATCGGAATTACATTTTGAATTAATGGGATCATGTCCCCATTAATTATGATTATTTTATTTTGTTGTGTTTTTGTGTAATGTATGTGTATGCACCAAGAAAGCAATCAAATATGTATTTCTAGTCTAATATTAGTTTTAAAACTCATCAGATGTTAAAGCCATAAATATGTGTAATATATTTTGTTATCTTTAAAAATAAGTGCAATTTCATTTACATTATATATGGTCTATTTATGGTAAATTACATAATGTGTAACTAATGATGATTGAATATTTAAACTGGTGTAATATAAACTTTTATATGTAACCAATGTATGTATGACTGTATATATGAATCTGCTGCAACGATATGTTAATGAAGTTCCAATGTATTAAATTGTGGTTTTGTTAGCCTTGTTACAATAAATAAAATATGCTAGAAAGATTCTAAGTGTGTTGTGTTCAATGTGATGTTTTGGTAAATGGTGTGTTGTGTTCAATGTGATGTGTTGGTACATGCTGTGTTGTGTTCAATGTGATGTGTTGGTACATGCCGTGTTGTGTTCAATGTGATGTGTTGGTACATGGTGTGTTGTGTTCAATGTGATGTGTTGGTACATGGTGTGTTGTGTTCAATGTGATGTGTTGGTACATGGTGTGTTGTGTTCAATGTGATGTGTTGGTACATGGTGTGTTGTGTTCAATGTGATGTGTTGGTACATGCTGTGTTATGTTCAATGTGATGTGTTGGTACATGCTGTGTTGTGTTCAATGTGATGTGTTGGTACATGGTGTGTTGTGTTCAATGTGATGTGTTGGTACATGCTGTGTTATGTTCAATGTGATGTGTTGGTACATGCTGTGTTATGTTCAATGTGATGTGTTGGTACATGCTGTGTTGTGTTCAATGTGATGTGTTGGTACATGCTGTGTTATGTTCAATGTGATGTGGTATGTATTGACACATTCTATGTGTCTTACATTAAACAGGGGAGAGATGTCACGATGAGAGGTGTCACACTGTCACAGAGAGGTGTCACACTGTCACAGAGAGGTGTCACAGGAAGAGATGACACTGACAGGAAGAGATGACACTGACAGGAAGAGATGACACTGACAGGAAGAGATGACACTGACAGGAAGAGGTGACATTGACAGGGAGAGATGTGTCTGTGTCATAGAAAGGCACCACACTGTGAAACTCTGACGCAATCGTCTAGTCCACTGGCTAGAATTATCTTGTCCATCAAACGACAGAGAGTGCGCGGTGACGTGACAAATCTAAACTTCCGGTTGCGTCATTCGTGCTATGACTAGTCCAAACCATTCCCGCTCCTATAATGACAGATTAATTATAATGTAATTAATGCATATTTTCTCTTTTTTGTTTAATTAATGCATGCCTATACGTGATCTTTCATGTGTTTGTAAATCTTTGGGGGGGGGGGGGGGGGGGTCAAAGTAATAGTTTTAGAACGTCTACAGGGGTCAGGTATTGTTAGGGCGGGTCTGCCAGTGTGACAGAAGGCGTACACAGAACTAACTGGTTAGGTGTCGTGGCCTGATTTTGCTTCAAATAATTGGTAGCAAAATGGCAAAATTTGTGTGGTGTATGGACGTAATCGAGAGTAAGCCCCCTAGGATTTTGTTGTGGAGGGGCAGCAAAATGACAATGTTGCTTTAAATAACTTCCCTCATACACGTATTAGGCCTCTATTTTTTGTATGGATAATTTTAAAAAAAAAGCAACAACCATACATGAAACATATGTTGCCTAAAGGATGTTAGTTTTCTCCTAAACATTGATTTAGAACTTTTTTTTTAACAATCCAAATGCGATAGAATCTCCGTCCAATTTGAGTTTTATAGGGGGACAGGGGACAAATAGCAGAGGATTTGTTTATGTTATAGAAGTTCGCAACATAAAGAGAACGGAAAAGCTGCAATATAGAGCAATGTATTTATTACAGCGTTTGGCTAGTGAGAATGTTTATTTCCGAAACTATCTGAGGTCACACCTTGACCTTTACAGTTTCCGGCAACTTCTCCGTGCCGATTTCTACGTCATAGGCGATAAAAATAGACCGAAAACGTCATTGGATGCATCATGAAACACAATTGAAATGCACAATTAGACATACAGAATTAATGTATTTTCAAGGTTTGAATAAATTACGCCAGAATTTTTATTTGGAGACGGGGGAACAGCGCACTGACGGCTTGAGCTATCTAGGTCAGACAGGAATAGAAAGGTCAAGGACGAGTCTCTGTTATCTCCTCGCAGGGTTAGAAGAAAAAGGTCGCCCAAAAATAATGTCACAGGTTATGGAGATTTGTGTGTCACCTCCCTCATTAACCTGTTCACCACAAAACGTCCAACCCTCCCCCACTCCTTTTTTTCCGACACACACACACACACACGCACACACACACACACACACATATATATATGTCATACACACGTAAACACACACTTGTAAGCCCCCATATTCCCAAACGTTATCATTAAATTAGCCTACATAACATTCAGACCATCCGAATTGCAATTATTCCTTCTTGTTTCTTTATTTTGTTAACTTATTTTTTTTTTTAAAACGAGAATTTACAAAAGGGATCCTGATGAAGCTCATTGGTTGATTCTTATTTCCATTTTGTTAAAATGACATCAAACAGCAAATTAACTGCTAATATTCATTGCTTTTAAAGATTCCAAGGTATGAACCTCCATTCTCTTCTCCCCCTCCCCCCCCCCGTTACCTACCTCTATGGAATGTGACGTCATGTGAGGGTGGCATCTTAAATTGTTAAGCGATAAAGTTACATATTGTGATGTCACATACTGTGACATAAAACGTCACTTGAGCCGACTCAAGTCACATCAGGATATGTGACATCATGACCGATGACATCATAAAACGTCACTCATGACATCTATTTACTGTACTTCTAATCACGTACAGGATGTAAATAACTGCAACTCAGTTAACAAGTAGATATGTACGTAAGGTTAATTATTTTAATTAAAATGATTTTTCACATTTAACTTCGTGTGTGATTTTAATGCATGATACCCGACATGATTTGTTGCTTGTAATAAATGTAATTTACATTTGGGTAATTTATGCATAGTTTTTACTGTTTCGTTTACATAAATTATTCTGTATACAAAACAAAAATAAAATTACTGAAACTGAAAGTGTGAGCTTCCTTGTCTGACGTCACAAGCTCACTGTCCTGAAGAATGGTCTATGCAAATAATCACTCCCGTTGAGGGTCAAGTTGTGCTATATTTAGACTACACCTCACTAAGTATTTGTTTTGTTTTCAAGTGACAGATTTTATGGCCTACACGTGGTCCACTCCTAAAAATACAAACTAGGTCAGGGAAATCCTGAAACTTTAAATAGGTCATTTTTCTCTTGTATAAGAAAGTAAGTATTACCCGATGCATACAAATAAAACGCTTTATTACCCGATATTTAAAATTAAAACGCTTTATTAGCCGATACATGAAATTAAAACGCTTTACTACCCGATACATAAAATTAAAACGCTTTATTACCTGCTAGTTCAAGTCAAGCCCTCATTCACTCTAATAACCTTAAATTACTAACAATAACGTCATTAACAAATTCATTAACATAATGAACACTATTATCACCAGTGGTCAATCGATGATGTCCGGCTACTTGATTAACTAATGGGGACCCAATGGACAGGTATCATTACTTCAGGAGCCGTATTGACGGGGTTCTTAAATCTCAGGCCCTTTTGACGCGATCGTAATGTCGGGGATCTTTCATTTGGAACATTTGGCACTGGCTATATAACAAGACACGAGAGGTAGTGGGGGATGTTACAGAGTTGTAAAACAAAATCTTACTCAGACAAACATCCCAGTTCTGTATTCGTTTACCTGCAGACCTGACGTATCTGAGGACAAAACAGAGATCTTTTGTGACATCATTCTTAGCTGATATAATTCAAATTTTAGCCTATACTCACTGTACTAATGGTAGAAATGGAACGGCGTGGCCTTGTGGTAGAGCACTAGATTGCTAACCCGAAAGTCTCGAGTTCGAATCCGGGTTTAAGTCAGAGGAACATCCCTGAGTCCACCCAGCTCATATGGGTACCTAACTTGTTAAGGAAAGTAGAGGCGGCTGGGCATGGTGCTGACCACATTATCCCTTTATACGCCTAGGTCGAGAAACATGAACTCTAAATCATATGCCCCAAGGATCGCTAGGTCTAAAAAGGAATCTACTTGCTGAACGCCTAAATCACGTGTAAAAGGTGAGACTATATGTTAAACACTTAACACTTTGCCTACTGTTGGTGAGCCTATTTTTTTTCTATAATTTTTTTTCTGTGAGACTTTCAGGTGGGACATTAAACTCACCGGTGAAAAGTGAGACTGTATAGTGTAACGTTGAACTTCTCACCTGTACCGAGAGAATACAGAACAACAGTACTCACCTGTAGCAAGAGTACTCACCTGTAGCAAGAGTACTCACCTGTAGCAAGAGTACTCACCTGTAGCAAGAGTACTCACCTGTAGCAAAAGTACTCACCTTTAGCAAGAGTACTCACCTGTAGCAAGAGTACTCACCTGTAGCAAGAGTACTCAACTGTAGCAAGAGTACTCAACTGTAGCAAGAGTACTCACCTGTAGCAAGAGTACTCACCTGTAGCAAGAGTACTCAACTGTAGCAAGAGTACTCAACTGTAGCAAGAGTACTCACCTGTAGCAAGAGTACTCACCTGTAGCAAGAGTACTGTTGCAAGAATACTCAACTGTAGCAAGAGTACTCAACTGTAGCAAGAGTACTCACCTGTAGCAAGAGTAATCACCTGTAGCAAGAGTACTCAACTGTAGCAAGAGTACTCAACTGTAGCAAGAGTACTCACCTGTAGCAAGAGTACTCACCTGTAGCAAGAGTACTGTTGCAAGAATACTCAACTGTAGCAAGAGTACTCACCTGTAGCAAGAGTACTCACCTGTAGCAAGAGTACTCACCTGTAGCAAGAGTACTCACATGTAGCAAGAGTTCTGTAGCAAGAGTACTCACCTGTAGCAAGAGTACTCACCTGTAGCAAGAGTACTCACCTGTAGATGGCGAAGTTAAAGTAGCAGACGAGAAGACAGGGCAGGGCGACACTGGACGTGGCTAGCACTATGGTGAAGGAGCGACTGGACAGGCGATCGAATCCACAGTAGTGAGTCTTGGGGTCGTAGCTGTAGCGGCCCCACCCTGGATGGAGAAGTACGTGAGTTCAGTAAATGGTTCACATAGACACATGTCAAGTACCGGTTCATATAGATAAATGTCAAGTACGGGTTCACATAGACACATGTCCACATGTCCACATAAGTATTAATTCATATAGACGTATGCTGTCTTAAACATTGGAGACAGGTTAGATCCAAGCCCACTTCGAATTTTTACAATACCTCCCCACACAACATATACCCACCTACCACAACAATACCTCCCCACACAACATATACCCACCTACCACCACAATACCTCCCCACACAACACATACGTAACTACCCCCACACTACCTCCCCACACTCCCTCCCCACACAACACACACACGTACCTAGCACAGGTGGCAGAGACACGATACCTCCCCACACAACACATACGTAACTACCCCCACACTACCTCCCCACACTCCCTCCCCACACAACACACACACATACCTAGCACAGGTGGCAGGGATACGATACCTGCCCACACCCAGACAAGCACCAGATGACCCTTGGTCCGTGAGTCTGAGAACAGCGCCTTGAAGATGGAGTTGTGGCAGATGTGGAGGTAACGGTTGAAGCTGATGCTCACCTGCACACAAAGCAATAACTCACCTGCACACAAATCAATAACTCACCTGCACACAAATCAATAACTCACCTACACACAAATCAATAACTCACCTGCACACAAATCAATAACTCACCTGCACACAAATCAATAACTCACCTGCACACAAATCAATAACTCACCTGCACACAAATCAATAACTCACCTACACACAAATCAATAACTCACCTGCACACAAATCAATAACTCACCTGCACACAAATCAATAACTCACCTACACACAAATCAATATCTCACCTACACACAAATCAATAACTCACCTACACACAAATCAATAACTCACCTACTAACAAATCAATAACTCACCTACACACAAATCAATAACTCACCTCCACACAAATCAATAACTCACCTACACACAAATCAATAACTCACCTGCACACAAATCAATAACTCACCTGCACACAAATCAATAACTCACCTGCACACAAATCAATAACTCACCTACACACAAATCAATAACTCACCTGCACACAAATCAATAACTCACCTGCACACAAATCAATAACTCACCTGCACACAAATCAATAACTCACCTGCACACAAATCAATAACTCACCTACACACAAATCAATAACTCACCTGCACACAAATCAATACCTCACCTGTACACAAATCAATAATTCACCTGCACACAAATCAATAACTCATCTGCACACAAATCAATAACTCACCTGCATAAATCAACAGCTAAAACAAACCTAAAATATTCTTTAAAACAGTACAAGTATAATCTTCAAGTTTTCTTTGTTAAAAAATTTTAAAGCAAAATTTATGAGAATTTTTAATTTAAAAAATTGTGAGTAGAAGAAGCTGCTCAAAAAGCATTGTATGGCTTTTTCTAAATTGAGAGGTGAACGCCCTTTCATCAAGATTTTAATGAGCTGAAGTTATTATCTTTTAGAAGCGACAGGAAGCTGGGTTTACATTTTTAAAAGATTTTATCAGAACAACGACATGGCGCCTTTGTCGTCTGCGGTTTTCCCGCCTTTTTTCTCTCACTTAGTTAATTAACAGGTTTTTTTAAAAATAAATTTATATCCCAGACGTAGATGAGATCAAAAGCGGTTCTTAAATTAAAGTTTACTTTTAAGTCACCCAGTCATCTTGTTAAGTCACCCAGTCATCTTGTTTGATCAAGTCTTAGTGGACAAGTCCACCAAGCTCATCGAATCAATAGTTGCTTTATGGTTGTACTTTCGTTTTTAATTTTAATTTGCAAACCACATTGTTTTTTCAAAACAATACTTTCTGGGCTTGTGTTATTATAAAATACATTATGTATGTATATATATATATATATATATATATATATATATATATATATATATATATATATATATATATATATATATATATATATATATATATATATAAAGCAAAGTTGTCGGGTGCCCGATAGGGCACTTCCCGGCGCCGCAGGCGCGTCAAATTTGGCACGATGGTGCCTTGGGGCGATAGAACACGAGGGCCGGTGACGGTTCGCCGAAAAGTCTACGAAGAGGGGGTCAAAACTGACCTCGACTGACCGGCGCCTTATATGGGCTATATTACGAAAAACAAATTCCTCCGACGACCCCCCTTGAAATTTTGTGAGGTGGTAGGAGAACCCCATGGGGTGTCACAAAAAACTCGGCATATCTGGGAAAACTTCGTAAAGGGGTCAAAACTGACCAGTTGTATTTCCCTATATAATCTTTGTATTTTATGGGAAAAACAGAGGGTCATTTCAACGCAGACTTTAGGGTACTTAAGCTCAGTATATCTGGCTAATTTTTTGCATGCTCCTAGGTCAATGGCTTGACCTTTAGGAAAAACTGTCGGTTACACTCAAAGCCCTCGACGAGGGCTAAAAAGTGACCGCGAGTGGAATTTTCTTTATATGAGCTCTATTACGAAAAAAAATTTCCTCCGACGACCCCCCTTGATATTTTGTGAGGTGGTAGAAGAACACCTAGGGGTGTCACAAAAAACTCGGCATATCTGGGAAAACTTCGTAAAGCGGTCAAAACTGACCAGTTGTATTTCCCTATATAATCTTTGTATTTTATGGGAAAAACAGAGGGTCATTTCAACGCAGACTTTAGGGTACTTAAGCTCAGTGTATCTGGCTAATTTTTTGCATGCTCCTAGGTCAATGGCTTGACCTTTAGGGAAAACTGTCGGTTTCAATCAAAGCCCTCGACGAGGGCTAAAAAGTGACCGCGAGTGAAATTCTCTTTATATGAGCTCTATTACGAAAAAAAATTTCCTCCGACGACCCCCCTTGAAATTTTGTGAGGTGGTAGAAGAACACCTAGGGGTGTCACAAAAAACTCGGCATATCTGGGAAAACTTCGTAAAGCGGTCAAAACTGACCAGTTGTATTTCCCTATATAATCTTTGTATTTTATGGGAAAAACAGAGGGTCATTTCAACGCAGACTTTAGGGTACTTAAACTCAGTATATCTGGCTAATTTTTTGCATGCTCCTAGGTCAATGGGTCGACCTTTAGGGAAAACTGTCGGTTACACTCAAAGCCCTCGACGAGGGCTAAAAAGTGACCGCGAGTGAAATTCTCTTTATATGAGCTCTATTACGAAAAAAAATTTCCTCCGACGACCCCCCTTGATATTTTGTGAGGTGGTAGAAGAACACCTAGGGGTGTCACAAAAAACTCGGCATATCTGGGAAAACTTCGTAAAGCGGTCAAAACTGACCAGTTGTATTTCCCTATATAATCTTTGTATTTTATGGGAAAAACAGAGGGTCATTTCAACGCAGACTTTAGGGTACTTAAGCTCAGTGTATCTGGCTAATTTTTTGCATGCTCCTAGGTCAATGGCATGACCTTTAGGGAAAACTGTCGGTTTCAATCAAAGCCCTCGACGAGGGCTAAAAAGTGACCGCGAGTGAAATTCTCTTTATATGAGCTCTATTACGAAAAAAAATTTCCTCCGACGACCCCCCTTGAAATTTTGTGAGGTGGTAGGGGAACGCCTAGGGGTGTCACAAAAAACTCGGCATATCTGGGAAAACTTCGTAAAGGGGTCAAAACTGACCAGTTGTATTTCCCTATATAATCTTTGTATTTTATGGGAAAAACAGAGGGTCATTTCAACGCAGACTTTAGGGTACTTAAGCTCAGTATATCTGGCTAATTTTTTGCATGCTCCTAGGTCAATGGTTTGACCTTTAGGGAAAACTGTCGGTTACACTCAAAGCCCTCGACGAGGGCTAAAAAGTGACCGCGAGTGAAATTCTCATTATATGAGCTCTATTACGAAAAAAAATTTCCTCCGACGACCCCCCTTGATATTTTGTGAGGTGGTAGAAGAACACCTAGGGGTGTCACAAAAAACTCGGCATATCTGGGAAAACTTCGTAAAGCGGTCAAAACTGACCAGTTGTATTTCCCTATATAATCTTTGTATTTTATGGGAAAAACAGAGGGTCATTTCAACGCAGACTTTAGGGTACTTAAACTCAGTATATCTGGCTAATTTTTTGCATGCTCGTAGGTCAATGGGTCGACCTTTAGGGAAAACTGTCGGTTACACTCAAAGCCCTCGACGAGGGCTAAAAAGTGACCGCGAGTGAAATTCTCTTTATATGAGCTCTATTACGAAAAAAAATTTCCTCCGACGACCCCCCTTGATATTTTGTGAGGTGGTAGAAGAACACCTAGGGGTGTCACAAAAAACTCGGCATATCTGGGAAAACTTCGTAAAGCGGTCAAAACTGACCAGTTGTATTTCCCTATATAATCTTTGTATTTTATGGGAAAAACAGAGGGTCATTTCAACGCAGACTTTAGGGTACTTAAGCTCAGTGTATCTGGCTAATTTTTTGCATGCTCCTAGGTCAATGGCTTGACCCTTAGGGAAAACTGTCGGTTTCAATCAAAGCCCTCGACGAGGGCTAAAAAGTGACCGCGAGTGAAATTCTCTTTATATGAGCTCTATTACGAAAAAAAATTTCCTCCGACGACCCCCCTTGAAATTTTGTGAGGTGGTAGGAGAACGCCTAGGGGTGTCACAAAAAACTCGGCATATCTGGGAAAACTTCGTAAAGGGGTCAAAACTGACCAGTTGTATTTCCCTATATAATCTTTGTATTTTATGGGAAAAACAGAGGGTCATTTCAACGCAGACTTTAGGGTACTTAAGCTCAGTATATCTGGCTAATTTTTTGCATGCTCCTAGGTCAATGGCTTGACCTTTAGGGAAAACTGTCGGTTACACTCAAAGCCCTCGACGAGGGCTAAAAAGTGACCGCGAGTGAAATTCTCATTATATGAGCTCTATTACGAAAAAAAATTTCCTCCGACGACCCCCCTTTATATTTTGTGAGGTGGTAGAAGAACACCTAGGGGTGTCACAAAAAACTCGGCATATCTGGGAAAACTTCGTAAAGCGGTCAAAACTGACCAGTTGTATTTCCCTATATAATCTATGTATTTTATGGGAAAAACAGGGAAATTTTAACACAATTTTCAGGTTACTTAATATCTGTACATCATGCTAAGTTTTTGCATACACTACTATAGATGACTAGGCCGTATGGAAAAACTGTTGGTCAGACTCAAAGCCGTCGACGAGGGCTAAAAGATGATCTTGAGTGAAATTCTCCTTATATGAGATATATATATATAAATAAATTGACGAACGATCCCCTTAATATTATGTGACGTCGTAGACCGACCTTGGAGGGTAACAAAAAAACTTTATTCCCGTCGGAAACAGCCATTATAGTCGTTAAATATGTTCATATAACGTAATTTCTTATATAAGCAAACAATATAAGTAAACAATGACATACGTCATACGTTCAGTTTTCAAGGGAGGTAACGTTTGTAAAATTATTATTTTTCAAATAATTGTATACTATTTTAAACAGAAACAGAAAATGACGAAGTATAGCATTTGTGTTAGTACAAAATTAAGTTGTTAATTTAGTTAAGTAACCTAATTAAATAAAT